ATTACTAGCAAAAATGTTGATTCTGACCTGTGTTCATTCTTTTCTATTACGCCACAGGACCGTTTGCCGAGAGGTTGTCGAGAAAGCGCGCGCAATAATAAATAATAAATAACAGCAACAAATAACAAAGATAAATAGTAACAGTAAATCCTCCCAACGTTTCACTGCCTCATCGTGGTTGAGAGGTGTTCCTGGGTGCCAGGCCGCGATATGCAGCGGAAGGATTCATCCACTCAGCAGGGTCTCCCAAGCTGAGGAGTCCAGCGTTTCCATCAGGAAACCTAGCTAAGGGTAAACCAATACCAGGATACACCACCGTCCTTGTATCAAACTGGACGCATAGTGGCAAACCTCCCTGTCATCCAGAAGGGTTGCCACTGCCTGTGGTGGTGACGACCTGGGGCACACTTTGGCCAAGAAGTCTATAGGACTCCAGGGAACCACAATGTCTAAACCTACAAATCTCCGGAGATTGGGATTTGTACTGAGGTCCGCAGAACAAGTGAAGACGGTATGAAGCCAAGTATCCAAGTAAGTAAGTAGCAGTAAATAATAATAATACCAGGATTTGTGCCACACAGTGGTTAAAGGCGACCTGCAATACACATGAGATCGATCCCAATGCTCCAAGCTCACTAAGTCCTCCATCCCTCTAGGATCGGCAAATTTTTGCTAAACATTTCAAGGAGGATAGTCGCATCAACTAGATAAATCGGCGGGTCACCGCGAGTCACTGTAAGGTCCAGGTATGCATTCAATCATCTCTAACAATGCTTAAGGAAGCTGAATGCATAGCGCATCTCACAAGGAATGATCAACGCCGAGGGACTTGTCCTTTTTAAATAATAATATTGATAATGATAATAATAAGATTGTTAATAAAAATAATATCAATAATAATGGTAATAAAAGCAGTTCCCAAGCCTGATTTCCCACTAACTTCGATATTGATGAGTAATTCACTCTATCAAGAAGGTAAGCACCACGAAGTTGTAATTATACTATTTGTTTACCCATATGAGTTGATTTCGCTTGTTCTGGGCATCGAAAGATCAGCATAACTGATGCACAGCTTACATCAACTTCGTATCATCTCAACAAGGACAGTTCACATTAACTGATGCAACATAGTCAATCACACAGCTCCATAACCTTGACAGGAAACTGCGATACCTAAATTTAAACCGCATTGAAAAAAAGCAGTTTCTTCGCAAACTCATCGCTGTCTCAGAGCTTTCACAGAATACTCTACGTGGAGACCAACTGCACAGAGCTCATATGGTTGGATAATATTTCTTTTTCACATTAAATAATCGATCTGAAATACTATGTGAGATCACGGGTGAAAGCGAGCCATTCCTCCCTGCGGTTCATTTTTGGATTTTTGGATTTTTTTCCGGAATGTTTTGAGAGTGTTGCTCGTTGTCGTTTTCGATTCCTATACGAGAATGGTCACTTCTGCTTCAAGATCTTTCCCGTTACATCTCTGTATTCTATTTGCTCTTAGTGGAGTATTTTGCTCAGCTTTACTCTTACCGTTTAGGTATTCCTTTATGTAGACATAAGTGTGTCCAACGCGACTGAAATAAAAGTGTCATGGCTTTTCTGCCGAGATTATGGAGCTACTTGACAGAACCCAGACTTTGAATAATCTGCTGGAACGTGAGCATTCATGGATAAATGAATAGTATAGTAACATCTCGTGTATGCTTATCAAGAAAAGAGCGAGTAGTAATAGAAATAATGCAATTAACATTGCCTGAATGTCCTAATTGAATAACGGCAGAACATGCGCGCACTAATCGAATGGCATCGCTGGAAAACGTCGTCGTCATCGTCGTCGATTCGATTCTTCAGCTCCAGAATCGTATTCAACATCATCGACCATATCGTCGTCAACATCATCAGCTACATCGTCGTCGGTTTCAATTCTCTTCATCTCCTCCACATCTTTACCTTCACGTGCAGCTTCATTATCGTCGCCATTTCATTCTTTTTTGAAATAGTGACGTGTTTTCTGGTAGTTGTTGGGAAATTCCTTCAGATCTCAGTGGCAACAATTTCTATGAAATTTCACAGAGTTTTTAAAAATTTTAAAATCTTCGGTGTCGAACGAATATTTTTCGAATATTCGAAGGTTATCGTTCTTCTATTGTCTCACTACTATTTTTGCTTTTCTTTACTCTCTTCTTCACTTTCTCTATTGTTTACAAACCTTATGTTAATTGCATATTTTATAATTTTACATTAGTCATTAATTAACGGTTTCCAAGTTATAGGTCAAAATGCCGTTATTTGCATTTAAAATCGACTTTCCTTTAACCTCCGCACGACCATTCGACATGCATTCTTTCTTTGATGAACTTACACGGGGTTCATAAACAATCTTTATTCGGCTAACGTTTCGATGGTATAGTCTTCATCAGAGCCGATGATACGTGTCGACGGTCAACAGATGTTCGTCTTCTCGATGTGGCGTCTTTTCCTCCACATCGAGTCGGATCTTTTCAATGGAGCATCTCTCGATTGAGGCATACTCACCAGGCGATGCTCTTCTATACTCGCTTTCATATTCTCTTCCTTAAATATTGTTATACTCCGTGCTAGCTGATAATGAAACCGCCTTTTGCAAGATGGATTGTCAGGAAAAACAAGTTGTTATCACCGAATAATCACTATTTTCAACAACCAGCATTCTCTATAAAAGAGCGTTGTTAGACGAGAATGCCTCATTCGAGCGGTGCTCCACTGAGGAAGATCCGACTCGATACGAAAACGAAGACGCCACATCGAGAAGACGAACAACTGTAGACCATCGACTTGGATCATCGACTCTGATGAAGACAAAGTCGTCGAGACACTGGCCAAATAAAACTGCTTGTCAACCTCGTGTAAACTCATCAAAGAAAAAATACATCTTTACTTGTTTTCATGTGAAAATACCCATCGTGAGAAGCCTCGTCGATAAAATTAGCTAATTCGATGGATAAAATAAGACGTTCTTCTTATAAATAAAGAAATTCTTCGGTTTCCTGTCATCTATTACCTGTTATATTTTATCAATCATACTTATTATTACTTATTTATTGCCCATATTTCTTAGTAATATCTACTTCTTATTTTCTCTCTACTATAATTTTACGGCAGCGTATTAAGCGAAATACAACCATAATGGTGCTGACATATAGGCAAAACTCCGGACCACAGGTGTCTGCGGTAGGGAACGAACGTGCTATTACGCTTTCCGGAGAGTAACGCGTTCACCACCACACCATGCGGGTCCTTCGTTCCGCCTGTCTCTCAGCTAGTTCTGTCGACCAGCTTCACTGGGTTCAATGCCGATGTGGACACCCCAGATCAATCCCATTGACAAGTGATTGCTGATGGTACTGACCGATTGAACTAGCTGAGAGACAGGCGAAACGAAAGACTCGTATGGTGTGGTGGTGAACGCGTTAGCCTCCGGAAAGGGTAATAGCGCATTCGTTCCCCCACCGCAGACACCTGCGGTCCAAAGTTTCGTAAATATCTCAGCACCATTGTGGTTGTATTTCTTAGTAATTGTAACTTCATCTAACGTGTGGGGATCGCAATACACAGATAAGAATAATAAGAATGAAAAATTATCTTAGAATCTTAACAATGGACTTCAAATAGAAGTTTTCTTTAGGGATAATCCAGAATCGATTGATGCACTGACGAGTGCGAGCTTTTCAAATTTTCTCCCGCCGTACTTCGGATAACTTAGTGAATTTAGTCGAATCAAAAAGGAATTTTTGAGAGATAATGTCTCGACCAAATGTAAAGACCATAGTAAGAATGTCAAATATAGGAAAAATGGCTCGTACGAACACCTACATTTGTGAACTATATATGGCTCACACACGTTGTTGTAGATGTGTCCATGAAACTTAATTAGGCGTCGTAGAATTGGTAGATTATCACAATTTAAAACATTGAAAAAATTTCTTAAAAATGCTTGAAAAAGTGTTGAAAGTACTCTAGCTTCTACTTTTTCTAGAGAATATCTTCAAAGATTTTTACTTTTCTTATTTATTTATATAACCCGTTTTCACGTCTACTGTGCTGATCGCAGCACTTCTCACATTCGATTCGTTTCCTCGCATCCATTGTCTACGAACATATTCCAACCTTTTACGTGTGGCTTTGGTTGCTGCTTGAGGATCTTCATTTCGTTTTGAATGTAGTAGAATGTTGGTCACCTCCCAACGGTTTACCGCCTCATCGTGGCAGGGAGGTGTTCTTGAGTGTTGGGCTGCCTTGTATAAAGATTCAACCCTCCTGCGCGGTCTCCCAAGCTGAGAAAGAGGCCGGTGATTCCATCAGGAAGCCTAGCTGAGAGTAATCCAATACGAGGATCCACCACTGTCCTGGTATCAAAGTTGCGTGGTGGTAAATCTCCCTCTGATCCACAAGGGCTGCTACTGTCTGTGGTGGTGAAGACCTGGGGCAGACTTTGGCCAGGCCGACCCCCCCTGGGACTCCAAGGAACCATAATGGCTTATTCAGCAAATCTCCGAAAAATGGAGATTATGCTGGAGCCCGCTCAACCAGTGAGGACGGATTGGGTTGCAGAGGTGTTTTTTCCCTGACAAGTTCGGTAGCAATTTCCCGACCGCGGAGAGTTGAGAGGTTTGGTGGGCCAGCAGCGGAATCGAACTAGCACCCTCCTCGTGAAGACGGATATCACTACCACTGTGCTATCCAGTCCTTCTTTGAAAATTGCTGATATAAAGTGATCAAGGTTTGTTTTAAAGCTTAATTAAACCTATAGTTGCTCATAATAACTTACTGTTACTGACTTCTTTCTCTTAAGCATAAATTGAAGCACGTGAAATTACGCGTCGTGTTCTTCGTTGCTTAACCGTGGCTTCGGTCTATAGAAAGTTACCTAATACTATGATGTATTTATTTTACAGGTTTTGATTTAGCTGTATGAAAATAATTTTGACTGTCCTAATTATCGCCGTCATTCTGCGATGAATTCGTCGCTGAGATATCCGTTGAAGCGTCGCAGTATCAGAAGTGCAGCAGATGACGACGCGTTACAGGTGCTAATTGATCGACGTAGGGACAGAGCCTGCATACATTAAGTTACGTTGTTTTTCGCAATATTATATTGACATTAAGGACCTCCTGTTCAATGAAGAAGTATGGCGGAGCGCATTTTCAAAACGTCCCAGAAATGCAGAAACGGGTCAACAAACGAGATGGACAGTATTAATTGGATATTTACAGGTATGAAACACAAGTGTTGCACAGTCATCTGATTCCATCTGCTTTCATTACACAAATAAAGAACAAATGATAAAGTGTTCAGGATTCACCTGCCCCTTAGCTATCCGCCATTTATTCGACAATATTGATACAGTGACTTGCAGTTGCCAGACGATGTATCCAATCACTGTTTTCATCCCTCTGAACCGGTCTGAACCAATATGACGACCACCGAGGGATGGAGTTTAAGGCCAGGAAGTGAAATTGAACCAACATTCACGTGCGCATTACAAAACACTGACCAGTGCACTTCATGCACCCCTTATACTTGTACAACCATTAGAAATAATGAACAACCAACAGTAACTGTGTCGGGGAGCTTGACTAGTTACTAGTATGGTCTTCGCTTAGAGCATGCCTCTTGCTCTCCAAGTCTGACTGTTTGACGCTAAATGTTTCTTAACTTGACGAATTACCTACCAATCATAAGCATGTGGGCGGGTGTAGCTCTGTGGGACTTTTGAATGATTACTTACTTTTATACTTTTATGGCCCGTCCTCATTGATCACTGATTATGCGGGCTCCAGCATAATCTCCATTTCTTAGCAGCTTTGCTGGTTTAGCCATTGTAGTTCCCTGGAATTCCCTGGAGGAGTTCCCCGGAGGGCAGCCTGGCTAAAGTCTGCCCTAGATCGTCACTACCACAGGCACTAGCAACCCTTGTGGATCAGAGGGAAATTTGCCACCACGCGACTAATTTGATACCACGACGGTGATGGATCCCAGTATTGGTTCACTCTTAGCTAGGCCTCCGGATGGTAACGCCGGACTCCTTAGTAGTTTGGGAGACCCTGCCATGGGGATGAATCCCCCGCTGTACATCGCAACGCGACACCCAGGAGCATCCAGCCACGATGAGGCGGTAAACCGTTGAGAGGATTGTGAATAATTACAAATGTTATTTTGATTTCGATAATCTCAGAAGTGGGAGTCGCCCAAGTCTTCGTAGAATTTTTTTAGTTGGCGTACGAGAAATCACATGTGCACTACTTATTCCCAGTAATACTCTTATTCGCTTATTCACTTCTCGGTGGGCTGATATTTTGGTCAATAGAGCGACCACATGAAGAGGTTCTACTCATGGATAAGGTACGTGTTCAGTTGTTCTTAGCGATCCTATAGTCACCTTCTATAGCCTCTCTAGAAATGAGCTTCTTTCGTTGTACTACTCGCAACTGTTTCGCTGAGGCCAAGCGAACGGAAAGCGTCTTAGCGGCATATTTTTCCAGGTGACTAGTGGCGGTTCCTAGCTTCAGAGCTGTTTATGAAACACTGCAGACGCATAGGTTCTTCTCGAGTTTTCCTATGTAAGCCATCTTACCGATAAACCACCATAACCTACCGTACTGATTCGGATGACGTCAACCTATTAAGCGAATGTGGCGCGCCCTTAGTTGAAAACTGATGTTCTTCCTGTTGCTTCTACTTGGAGGCATACGATCATTCATTTCCATTACACGTCTCAGTTGAAATTATATTTTAGAGCAGCTTCATCGACGCATTGAAAGAAGAGCTCTTGAACGTCATAATGAGTGTTCATGGTCGTCTCTCAGAATATAATCGAGCATTCCAGTAGGTGATGTAGATAATATCGATTGACCAAACGTGATGAAAGTCGATTGCCATAAAATCTTCGTTTAGGAATGATTCCTATGTGCAGAAGTTGCATTATCGAGCGTATCGAAAATTCGCGCTCAACGAAATACACAAGGTGAATGTCAGAGACCCAGTGAAAGATGTCAGGTGACGACGTATCGGGTTTATCTGCGCCCTCGTCATGCCGCCAAGTGGAGCGTTTATAGTTTTCGGCAAACTCGTACGCGAAACCTTAACGCACGCGACGATATTCGGCAGAAAATCAATACCTATGTTTTGTATGAACAGCGGTCAACTTTCCAATTTTGCTCAAAATGTTTTTATTTGTTACAGTAATTCTTTAGATAATCTACTGGTACACGTTAACGATTTTCTATCTTACTGAAAACGAAATACATAAAGCAATGGTATTACGTCCACAGAATGCCGAATCGTTATGGAAACAGCATTTCGAGAGTAACTTCGGACGAATCCACGCGTTACGGAATTATACCGACCAGGTTCCAATTTTCTTTTCGAGGCTCCATCAACGTCATTGTCCGCAGAATTTTATTCGTTATTCAGTTGGCTCTGCGTTGTTGGGAGATTGGCGTCGAAGGGGCGCATCTTGGTTGGCAAAGGTCATTCTATAGGGAAAAGGTTAGTGATGCTGGCTAATGTCGTTAAAATTCTCGCGAATAGCATTATAGTAGGATAGGAAGTGTTTATGTCGGCAAGATAAACAATCCGAGCATGTTTTTCTCCTAAAACCATGGATTTTCCCTTACTTTTTCCCTACATTCACGAGATAGATGATAGTGCAGACGTCCCCCGCCTAGTGAAATGTGCAGGCGGGAACGAGGCCGATATGATCCTGGCCACCAACCAACCACAAAACGGTTCTACGGTGTCAGTGAGGCTGCACTAGTTGAGATTCACAAGTCCAAAAGAAAATAAAAAGAGCAAAAAGCGAAAGAAAAATCAGGAAAACGCAAATCGCTCCCGTTTTCATTCTTAGATAGGTCGTTAACTTAAAAGTTCATATGTAAGCTACTGGTAGTGCATTGCAGTCTGCACCATGAAAGAAATATGAGTAATAGCTAAACATTAATCACGCACTGGTGGAGAAGCTTAGAGAGTCTGTTTCATTTTTTTCTGGTAATTTCGAGAAAAAAACCGGTGGGAAATAAACTAACTCGGGGAACGAGGTTGTTCGTTAGTGTTTTTCTCCGAGCTTTCTCTCCTTTTCGAGAAAATGATGCCCATTCTGACTGGCCTCAGAAACCTTTTTTCCTGTACTAGCCTATGCAGGACTTTTATTGAGATCAGGCGTTTTTTTTTTCTTCAGATTGATGATAGTATGAGCGACTATGACATTGCAGTTGGTCTAGATAATGTGTTGAAACCAGTGTGGACATTTTGGAATGCGATGTTTCTTGCAGGTTATTGATTGATTCGATTTAAAATAAAAGTTTTAAACTGCAAACATGTCAATGGCCAGCGAATCGAAGAGGAACTTTCGTGACTTCAACAGCGCTAAAATAATCCACATAATGAGAACTAAGGACGCGTGCGTAATGGGTTAGACGCGCGACACAGAGGAACTCGCTGGATCCATCCCTCAGTCTGAGTTCAGAGGACCTCCTAACTCCCCAGAGTCGGCAAATTATTGCGAGATTTTTTTTGGGAGTGGGGTGTGGGAGAGAAAAAAAGTCAAAGTGATGGATAGATAGGAGATCCGAAATCAATGCACATCCAAGTAGGTACGTAACCCTAAGTCTTTACGAATGAAGTCAAATGCATGGCGCATCACATTTCTAGTGGGATGGGAACGCTTTATTTTCCATTCTCCCTGATGTGTACGTTTTTTTCTTACACTAGAAATGCGAACTCGATTACCTCATGAAAATCTGCTAGTGGGATTCGTATGCCGTCATCTATTAAAAGCTTAGTACTCTTTCATTCTTTAGTAGTTATCAACAAAACTTTTGGTTCTAATGACGACAGACACCGGGCCAACGAAAGAAATTGTTCTGAAGAAGATGTTCTACACAATTCTCACACGTTATACGAAAGACTCCTCTACACGGTTCAGTGGGAAAAATTGATTTCGACGCTAAAAATTCTGTGCTGCCGTAATCGCAAAGAGTGCAGTCCACATTAAATGCCTTGCTAAAAGCTGTTAACTGTACCTTCGTTAGTTTTGCAAAGGCTTTTCTATTTAGTCGATATAAAATGTTTCAGTGACCACCTACACCACAATCGGATACGGTAACATTACCGCGAAAACGAAATTGGGAAAATTGGCCGCGATGGTGAGTTCCTATGACTTGCGCTTAGCGATTGATCAGTACTAACGAATCAATGCTACCATATATGTATATGTCTGAAATAAAGATTATAAGGGGCACATATGATCATACCAGGTGTACGCTGTTATTGGTATACCACTTGTGCTAATGATTCTACACAAAATGGGACGGTTCTTTCTATTTGCTCTAGAACACGTTTGGGATTTTCTAACGAGGTAAGCGCTATACTTGTAAAATCGGTAACTGCCCCATTGTTCGTTCTCTTGAGGGTAAACTAAGCCATGTGAAGATTCTACTGTTTATTATTTTATAACTACGTGAATATGGATCGGTTAGGCATCAATAACGTGCGAGATTGCCAAAGATTTCATCGTCAAAAGTTTTATGTTTTCAGAGGTGCTCAATATTTATGTTTTGTGTCAAATGGAAGTCGTCTTAAGCTCTCCGAAGAAGAGCGCATATCCGAAATACCATTGATATTAGCTCTAGGTTCGTTCCATGAACATCCCCGAAAACCTCTAGAATCTCAGTTATTCAATGCTGTCCAGTATTTTTCCAGCTGTTTGAAAAAGACAATATTATTGTACCTGAGAGGGTTACTTTATCCCAGGTGTGGCATTCGGATGGATGTTTTTGTGTGCTGCCATTTTCTTACGATTCGAAAAGGATTGGGACTACTTCAAGAGTTTCTATTTCTTTTTCTGCTCATTGACCACTATAGGATACGGTGGGCTTGACCATCCACCTTCGGGCACAGAAATCATGTCCACGACGACAACAGGTGTTTGTTTAGGTGATGTGACGCCGACAAAGAGCGAGGATATGTTCATCATATTTGGCTTAATTATGATTGGGTTATCGCTGGTTTCAATGTGTATTAATGTAATTCAGTTGAAATTGGAAAAACTTTTCGAGGTTTGCACTTATCACGTAAAAACTGTCGCTGTTCAAAAGCTATTCATTTCTTCGCATAATATAGCTCTATTTCTCAATACGCAACCAGGATAAAAATGCAATGACAAGACAACTTCTTATTTTATATAAAAAGTAATTTGATTAAGACGCTTTAATATATACAGGAATTACTGTTGACTCTTATGGAGGAATATAACTCAGATCCGGAAGCCAGTAGCCTGAAAGGTGGACAGATCGGTGGGTTTTTCTTTTGCGTTTCATCTTTATTTGTAATTTCATTTCTGTTCCTAATACATTTATGTAAGATAAAGAGCCTGAAGGCACTCTCGAGTTGTATTCGCATGGCAACTTGATCTCACATATCTTCAAAACTTGGTTCTTTTGTTTTCCGGAATGCACGCCAGACCGAATACTTGCCTTTTTGGTTGATAAAGCTGATTAACTAAGAGCTAAGTAGCGCTCCCCTATAGAGTAGGTATATTCATGCAGGCACAAATGAGTGTACTTGCATGTAGAAGGATCGTGTTCTGAATGTCTTCGATTCGGGCAAAAGGTTGCAATCATTGTGACTAGGAAATATACTTCGTATTCTTGTTGAGCAAACGCGAGGTGTTACTATTCTTTATTCACGAATAAGCTGACATTTCGGCGGATTTCGCCTTCCTCAGAACCTGGAAAGGTCAAGTTGACAGCAATCTATTCGGCCAAATAACTCCATAACCAAACAGAGAAAACGCTGAACCAGGAACTCCCACGACCGACTTTCTATTAACCTCGGCATTGATCAAGTAATTCTTCGTATTTTTGTTGAGCAAACGCGAGGTGTTATTATTCTTTATTCACGAATGAGCTGACGTTTCGGCGGATTTTGCCTTCCTCAGAGCCGCTTTCTATATGGTTTCCACTAAGTACGTCGCGTGAAGACCAACCGCACAGAAATCACATAGAAGCACAATGTTATGCATACTCGGTGGTATTTCAACTACGTTTACCGGATTCTCTAGACCCGCCCTTCTTAAGTAGTTTTATAGCTGTACTTACATCATTTAAGATGAAGAGTAGGATAAACGGGACCATTCTATCGCTAGAGTTGTCGTTTGGGGGCCTAGGATTTCCCTTACACCTATCCCGAGCTACAGTTTCGTAGCCATTAGAAATGGCTATTTGCCGCACCAAGTTCCCGGACTCCTCTCTCTGCTCTCTTCCCGTGCACACGTTGGTTGCTGTTCGAAACATGTTTCTTATAGGCGCCCTTTTCGTGTGAGAGGGGTGAGAGGGGAGGTAATGAACCAAGATGCTTTTATTACTTGGCTTTCCGTTTTTTGTTTTTACTACTGGGCGAACTTGATATACTCTTAGGAGCCAGCTAGTTCGTAACCGCCTATATGACCGTCTATGTGCAACGCAAAATTGCATAATTTGGTCCAATGGTAGAGACGGTGACTGCATACGCCCGGGTATAGTTTATCTGATTGCGGAGACGAATACATTGGCGAAACACGCAGACCCCCCTGTGTCCGCATAAAAGAACACCTAGCCGGCAAACGCCTACCAAATACCCCACTAGACACGCACACGACCCAGAGACATAACGGGGAGGACTAAAGTACGTGTCACCATCCTCGCACAAGAATCGAGAACACAAGCGCGCAAAACTCTCGAGGCGTTCTGGATTGATTCCAGAAATTCAAAAATGTACCGCAAGGAATAATGCCTCATTATCACGCGTGATATTGGGCAGTATATAAATCTGTTATTCTGATGAGAGGGGCACATTACGATTCCATGTGAATTCTGTGCGGATGATCTTCACGCGACATACTCAGTGGAGGTCTCGTAGAAAGCGGTGAGTGTGCAAAGCTGTGTTCAATGTGATTGAAATCTTGGTTTAGAACCACAACGTTGCTGAGATATTTGCAAAACTCTGGACCGCAGGTGTCTATGGTGGGGAACGAACGCGCTATTATCCTTTCCGGGGAGTAACGCGTTCACCACCACACCATGCGGGTCCTTTGTTTCGCACGTCTCTGAGCTATTTCTATCGATCTTTTTGCCACAGCAATCACCCGTCAGCGGGGTTGATCTGGGGAGTTTCTATCGATCTTTTTGCCACAGCACAGAAATAGCTGAGAGACAGGCGAAACGAAGGACCCGCATGGTGTGGTGGTGAACGCGTTACTCCCCGGAAAGGACAATAGCGAGTTCGTTCCCCACCATAGACACCTGCGGTCCAGAGTTTTGCAAATATCTCAGCAACGTTGTGGTTGTATTTCGCTTAGTAACCTGCCATGAAAATTATAGAAGACAGAAAACAAAACGTTAAACATCTTGTTTTAGAGTTTCTTTGTTTGGTTATGGAGNCAACCCCGCTGACGGGTGATTGCTGTGGCAAAAAGATCGATAGAAATAGCTGAGAGACGTGCGAAACAAAGGACCCGCATGGTGTGGTGGTGAACGCGTTACTCCCCGGAAAGGACAATAGCGAGTTCGTTCCCCACCATAGACACCTGCGGTCCAGAGTTTTGCAAATATCTCAGCAACGTTGTGGTTGTATTTCGCTTAGTAACCTGCCATGAAAATTATAGAAGGCAGAAAACAAAACGTTAAACATTGTGATTTCAACTACAGCCATAGCTTAACTGGGTTCTATGCCGATTTGCGCTCCCCAGACCAACCCCGCTGACGGGTGATTGCTGTGGCAAAAAGATCGATAGAAATAGCTGAGAGACGTGCGAAACAAAGGACCCGCATGGTGTGGTGGTGAACGCGTTACTCCCCGGAAAGGACAATAGCGAGTTCGTTCCCCACCATAGACACCTGCGGTCCAGAGTTTTGCAAATATCTCAGCAACGTTGTGGTTGTATTTCGCTTAGTAACCTGCCATGAAAATTATAGAAGACAGAAAACAAAACGTTAAACATCTTGTTTTAGAGTTTCTTTGTTTGGTTATGGAGGCGTCTCGCCGAGTAGATTGCTATCAACTTGACCTTTCCAGGCTCTGAGGAAGGCGAAACCCGCCGAAACGTCAGCTTATTCGTGAATAAAAAATAATAACACCTCGCGTTTGCTCAACAAGAATACGAAGAATTTCTTGATCAATGCCGAGGTTAATAGAAAGTCGGTCGTGGGAGTTACCAGGAAATACGGCCACCAGTGATCTGAGCCTTAAGCTGTAGATGCAGTTTTTAAGGATCTGCCAACGTTTAATACAGCCACTCTTCTTAGCAAATTCAACGAGATTCCCATGGACTGTCGACGAACAAAAACGGTGAAAAAATGACGACTTACAAAAAATGCAAATGCTCTTAGTGTCAAGAACAAAAGAGAGCAACGGAATCATACGTGATATGTTAGGACTATAAAACTAGAAATAATACCACAACCCTACCAAATTGTAAAGACGCTGTCTTACTAAAAAGTTGCTAAAGTGTCCAACAGGAAGTCGGAACGAATCTGAGCAATACTTTCTTTAGGGATGGTCGAAATGTGGCGAGCGTGGAAGAAGCGTAAATCACGACTGAAAAACGGACTCGCTCCTGCCAGACAGGCTGCAGGGAAAGCCAGTCAAAATTTGGCAAAGGTTTGCATTCTGCAAATGAGTTTGTTAATATCGTAGTTTAGTGTTTTATTAAAACGCATGCCATCAATTTCTTGGAAATAAAGCCGTTTTTTTCACTCGCTCAGTAAGCTTGTTAGCCATTTAGCTCTTTACCTAACGACATGACTGAAGTCTCAGGAACATATATACATTTCTCAGATTTCTTACAGTATTGTATAAAATTGGAAGCGGAGATAACGCGGTGGTTAGTGCGTCCGCCGATCATGAAGCAAAGGAGCTAGTTCGACCACCGCCTCAACGCCCTGCTCCAATCCACGTGCAAACGCCTTAGTTCGGCCATCTTCAAAATCCAAAAAAAATGTAAGGAGAATCGAGTCGACCGTCATTCTACGAAATTTATGAAGAAGACGAAATTCTCAAGCAGCAACTGAAACAACACGCGAAATGTTCGAAGACCACTGTGGGTGATGGATGCGAAGAAACGAATCGAATGCAAGTGCTGGGATTCGGACAATAGAAGTGGTGGCAAATCATGTAAAATAAGCAAACAAAAAAACTGAATAGAATCTGTAAAATATAAGGTGAAGGGATACAAAGATGTAATGTGACAGTGGAAGAATAATTTGTTGTGGATTGTAGAATTTTGTTCCTTTCCATTTTAACACTAAGAACTTAAGCTCCATGTAACAAAGAAGAATTAGTTGTAGGAATGCCGATTAATGTCTTAAAAGTGTTTCAATCTCAACTTAAGCAGAATACAGGTGATTCCTTTCGCTCGAAGACGAAATCGCCATCACTTAATCGAGGAGCTGCAGCATCGACTTCGCCAACGGGATCGCGCTACGCAGACCGACATCGTCTTCGGACCAATCCTCGAAGAGGCATGGACTGAGACCAGTGACGTTGACAGCTACATGACCAACAACAGCGCGTCGTATGGTACGCTTTGAAAGACGAAGACCACTTTTTTATTCACTATTCTAACATCGCCTATAGTTTCAGACCCTGGTGGTGGTGGTGCTGGTTATCTCTCAGGAGCATCCGTTATCGCAGCACCATCTCGATGTGAATCGCATCCGATTGTCGTTCAACGTGAACCATCTTTACTCTCATCGTCAAGGCCTCATTCGACCGCTCACAGTCAACTACAAACAGCTAGCAGTGAAATATCAAAAATGTGAATTAAAACAGAGACGTCTTAAAAACGAACGATAGCTAGCGAACGATAAACAAAAGTTCAAGAAGTGGTTTCTATTGTGACATTTGGAATTTGAATTCCATTCATACTTCTACCTATACTGATCTTTAATATACGTCATCATCGCTGATCTATCAATATACGGAGCTTTAGATTAGGTGATTGTTCAACTCGTCTAGTTCGATGGGCTAAATGGTGCGACCCTTACCAAAACGACCCTTAGTGCTCAATCATCTTAATCAAAATCCTCGACGTTTTGTGAGGAACTCACACAAACACAAAAATCTACTGAATATTCCACATTCGGTTAGGGTAAGCCTCACAGGGATTAGAACCCTTATCGTACATATCTACCGCCATACGCTGAAACGATAATAAGCTAGGAATCTACAGAATCAGCCTAATATCGAGTAGAAAGCCGTCAAATAACTTCGGCAGTGAAAGTTCACTCTTATGTATAGCTCTAAATCTATGGGATGAATTAGATTTCTTTGAATTTCTCTCCAGTAATTTTTCACTCTTTACAGGTCTTCGCTTTCAACTGTATCAAGTCGTAATACCGGGGCGTCGTCAGCGAAATCAGCTCCAAATAGTGCTTCACTTGCGAGATTTCCAGTCGATTTCGATCCCAACCGGCGTTGGACGTTCATTGGAACTGGCAGTGTACTGTTGCTCACCCTCCTTGAATTCAGCTGCATAAATAACTTAGATGATTTTCAACTGTAGTGAACAATTAATAATGAACTCTGGATATTTCCAAGCTTTTGTTACTAGTTGCTTACTTGATACTTGAACAGCCCGCCCTCATTGGTTGTGCGAGCCCCAGCATAGTCACCATTTTTCGGAGATTTGCTGGTTAAACCATTGTGGTTTCCAGGAATCCCGAGGTGAGTCTGGCCAAAGTCTACCCCATGTTACTATTTTGTAAGCCGAAAACACTCAACCGTATTGACTGTACCGCCAGTTGCACAACTGCCACTTTTTAAAGCAGTAATTTGTTGCCTATCACTTTTTGCTCGGCAATTTCGACGCCTAATTAATTATGTATGACTCCCACGTTTAATCCACGTAACCTATTAGAACACTTAAAATGAAAACTGATTAAAGCAAGAACAAGCGCAAGGTGGAACACGATATTTGATTAATAACACTCGCGACGTAAACTTATCAGTTAAGCGATCCTTTAGATGAAGAAGCCTTCCAACATGTTTCTATCCATCGTTTTTTCTCACTCCCCATATTCAGACATCTCGCGGTGCTCCTCGGGGACTCGTCGTTCCTTACATGTACACACAACGGCAGGTAGCGATTTCTATAATTTCTTTAAATTTCTCCTAATACGTTCTTTCGCTCCCATCAGTCAATACGGCTCAATTAATAACGACTTTAGATTCGTCAAGTACACACAACTGAAATGGGGCGTCTAATCGCTGAGTTGGACAGTCGAATACGCGACTGTCGCCACCTGGCTTCGCCTTCGTCTTCAAGGAGCTCACGTACACACTCGAAAGGACTTCAAACGTCATCGAAATAGATACGATACCTATCAGGTTTTATTTCACTTACCACAACTGAAGAATAGAAATCTTTCAAAGGAAGAGCCGTTACGGTCCACACTCTGCGATACAGGACCTTTCAAACTTTGAAAATTTTCGAACAAAAACTGTTCATGAGCCATGTGGCGATGCAACGTTGAGTTTGATTTTGTTTTGTAAGTTCGTTCCGACACTAAATATAAACAAACATCTACGTGTGAAACAAACATACATCTACGTCTGTAGAGACCACCCAGTATGCAACTATGTGATTCCATTTCGGAAACAGTTCTCTATTTTTCGGTTTTCCCTGTGGCTTTTGGTCATTTAAACACCAAAATTAGTTTCGTGCAATACGTTCTTACCTCCCAACGGTTTACCGCCTCATCTTGGTTGAGAGATGTTCCTGGTTGCCGGGCTGCGATGTACAGCGGAAAGATTCATCCACTCAGCAGGGTCTCCCAAGCTGAGGAGTCCAGCGTTTCCATTAGGAAACCTAGCTAAAGGTAAACCAATACCAGGATCTGTTAAGGTCCTGATATTAAACTAGTCGCGAGGTAGCAAATCTCATTCTGATCCACAACGACACAGGGCAGACTGTGGCTTGGTTGACCTCGGGACTCCAAAGAACCACAATGGCTATACCAGCAAAACTCCAAAAAGTGGAGATTATGCTGGGGCCCGCACAACCAGTGAGGACGGGCTGTCCAAGTATCTAAGTAGGTATGTTCTCACTGAATGCTCTAACCACTTAAATGAAATACAAAGCAGCTAATTTATAGGATAATGGATAGAGCAGTGAGCTAATATGCCCATCTTTCAACTCTAAGTTTTACAGTACAGAGTGATTTTGCAGCATTTGCTGACTTACTACAGAATTAACTGTTTATTATTACAATATATGCAATGTTCTATACTCAGCTGGCCACTCTGACCCTACTCAGCAAATCCCATGTTTTCAACACTTTTATACCTGAGCATTAAAAAATGTTTGTAAGAACGTTGGGGAAACGAAAATATAAATCAGCCTTCTCGTGCTCTTTTTCTGGCCACTTCGTTATCCTAAAATGATTAATTTAAGACGACCTTTTCGAAAAGAGAAATTATGCACACATTGGACTAATTATGGATTGCCTGTTAAAAGTAATAATCAGGTTAAAAAATTCACCGTGCCGAACTCATAGTAATGTGGTGCAAGCTCATACAACCAATGAGGTTCAATAACGGAAACGTCTCGGATTGAATCTTGCATAGCATCAGTGAAGATGACCCTAAAAATATCTCCAACTAACAAAAGAATATGAACGTTTCGAGAAACATTCTGGATTCAACAAAGAGCGAAAAGAATGTGCAAATATAGAAGTAGGGCAAAAAAAAAACAACCCAGATGAAAACTATGAATACTACTCTAACAATACCTTACCATTTCGGATAATCCTTTTTGTACATGATAACTGATCCTTTATAAACATTGAATGAAAATTCTTCCTTTAGTGTTACATATTTACCAGTGTAATGATATCGTGCGGCTTGTGAGAAGAAGCCGGAAATTAAGCAACGAATAATCTTTGTCGCAGCACCTTAATTTAGATGTGAAGTAACCTATGGATCCTTACAAGACGGTAGCTACACAATCCATCGAAACGAATGGCACAAAGTGTGCTTACCAGTCTCTCCGCGCACCGAAGACAACGGCACCTCAAACCTTTGTAGTAATCGCACTAACTGTGCTCGAACATTATCAGCTCGACATAGTCCACGATAGTTCAGAAAATGGTCGCTACACCACTTTCGACTCTTGTTATTCTGCAATCGTTGCTTTATTTACTGCCTATTCTTTCTTTTTTCATGGAAGGGTATGCTGTGAAATATAACTACAGTGACGATATTTGCAAAACTCCGGATCACAGATGTCTGTAGCCGGGAATCGAGCAAGCTATTACCCTTTCCGTGGGATAGAGTGTCCACTATCACACCATATTGCGGAAACCATTCAATGTTCTAAAGAGTTGTCGTTGTTTTTGATGTTATTGATCGATGGCTGACGTTTCGGCAACTTCGCCTTCCTCAGAGCCTGGACGTATTTTAATATTAGAATATTTTTACTAATCGGTGGAAAAGAAAGGTTAAAGTGTTAATGAAGATCAAACCTTCAAATAGGAGCCATATTGAACAGAAAGGCCACTCACCGTGTTTTTACGTACGGGACTGGCCCTCATGTAGCTCAGGTGGGGTCGCGAGCAAGACACGCTCCGGGGTCAAAATATCATTTTGGATTAGGGCGCCAGGTCACACGTGATAGTGAGGCATTCGACCTTCCGGTTCATCTTTGGATTTTTGAAATTTATCCAAAACGCCTCAAGAGTTTTGCGCGTTGATGTTTTTAATTCTTGCGCTAGCATCCGCACATTCACTTCAAAATCATCGCCGTTGTGTTTTTGTGTCCTATGCGTATCTACAGGAGTGTTTAGGCGGATTTTAGCTTTCCGATCCAAATGTTCTTTTATGCGGACACCAAGTGGTCTACCCGCTTCTTCAATGTATTCCTCACCGCATGCGTTATACGCGTCGCAATTAGAAGGTTGGCCATGGGACAGCGTTTAGCACCAAGCCTTGCTATCGCTTTCACGTCTAAGGTGGAAGCTCCAGTCCTCGATCACCAGCCCTTACTCTACTGTCGATACACAGACGACTGCTTCATCGTCTGTTCCCCACAAGAACAGATGGATGAGTGCTTTGAATTGTTAAACGGTCAAGACAGTCAGAGTTTATAAAATTTACACGAGAAAAACCAACCGAGAACTGGCTTCCATTCTTAAACATAAAAATAAAGCTCTCAGTAAGTGGCTATATAACAAAATGGTATCGCAAGCAGCCAAGAAGTAAAAACATTCTAGTTCACTGCCTCTCCTCTCATCCTTCACACATGAAAAAAGCACTTACCAAAACATGTATCGTATGGCTAAAAATGTGTGTACAGGAGAAGAGGAAAGGAAGGAATCGCAAAACCTGGCACGAAAAATTGCCATTTCCAATGGCTACTAAGTAGAAGCCACTCGGGTTGGAGGAAAACGCTGGGTAGTTCCCCAAAATAATATTTCGGACGTAAGTAAGATCCTCTTTAAGATACCTTTCATAGCAAATGAAGTAAGTCACGCCATTAAAAAGCGCTTAAGAAAAAGTGGTCTTGAAAATTATGTAACGATTATTGACATCCCACCCAATACCCTACACCGCCAGTTAGTTCGAAACCGTCTCTACGATCGTTTGTGCAGCTCAGAAAACTGTATGATCTGTCCTAACGGGAGAGACGGAGATTGCATGAGTTTAGGTACAATATACTTGATCTCATGTAACGCATGCGGCGAGAAATATATAGGGGAAACGGGTAGACCACTTTGTGTCCGCATAAAAGAACATCTAGATGGAAAAGCTAAAATCCGTTTAAACACCCCTCTAGGTACGCATAGGGCACAAAAGCACAACGGCGATGATTTTGAAGTGAATGTGCGGATCCTAGCGCAGGAATCAAAAACGTCAACGCGCAAAACTCTTGAGGCGTTTTGGATAAATTTCAAAAATCCAAAGGTGAACCGGAAGGACGAATGCCTCACTAACACGCTTGACCTGGCGCCCTATTTCAAAATGATATTTTGACCCCGGGGCGTGTCTTGTTCGCGACCCCACCGGAGCTACGTGAGGGCCAGTCCCGTACGTAACAACACGGTGAGTGGCCTTTCTGTTCAATATGGCGTCTATTTGAAAGTTTGATCTTCATTAACACTTTAACCTTTCTTTTCCACCGAATAATAAAAATACTCTAATATTAAAATACGTCCAGGCTCTGAGGAAAGCGAAGTCGCCGAAACGTCAGCCATCGATCAATAACATCAAAAACAACGACAACGACAACGAAGATCTGTACCAACTTCGCGTCAGCTTAAGAAGATCAGTTTATAAGATCACATAAATAAATATATCAACTATCTATGCCGAGGTTTATAAAAAGTCAATCTTTCCAGTTCTAATGAGCTTCATGGTTCTTCATAAACGGGATTGCTAATGAGGGTAATGGGGCTATATCTTGGTTGATATTGTGATACACTCTCCCCTCACTCGCTTTAACTATGGTAAGAGATCACAGAACCGAAAAAAAAACAAAGGAACCTTAATGAACATCGTGTACACATTCAGCAGAGTGATATGGTCACCTTCTTCTGCAGCAAATCGACGTTTAATTTCCTCCTGAAAAGTTCTAAAGAATAGCATACAGTTAACAAAAGGCAATATAGCGCTCGGGGTTGACGAGTCTTTGGACGACACGTCATGCATCCGACTTCAACAAGCATCGCAGTGATGATTAAATGCATACTTGGAGGACAAAAACATGGACTTAATAGATTGATGAGCCACCGCGAGCTATTGTATAGGCCAAATGTGCATTCAATCGCATCTTGGATACCTAGATCGATTATAAGACACAGCTTTGATGGATTTTTTGAGCAAAGCTGCATCTTTTTATCCTTTATCTTTTATCAAGAAGCGGTATTTCGTTACTACTACGTAAGAAAAGTGCATTTATCTCAGAAATCTTAAGCAGCAACACAATTCTGTCTACATTTTTACATGATTCATTATCACATTTACCGTGTGGATCACAGCACCTTTTGTACCCGATTCGTTTTCCACGCACTCATTGTCCACAAAGGTCTACGAACATTCCGAGCAGTGCTGCGGCGACTGCTTACGGAATCCGTCTTCTTTATGACGCAGAATGGGGTTGAACTAGTTCTCCTTGTAATTTTGGGTTTAGCTGAGCTAGGACGTCCCCCAGTGAGCTGGAGGAGAGCGTTATATACATAGGGAAACCGAGATACCACAACCACAAAAATGTCTACTAATATTTCAAGCATTTTCAAGGTCTCATTTTTGACTCTATATTTCGTTCGGAATATTTTCTACTATACATGTATAGCAGAAATACGATACTTTTGAAGAGAAGTAACTGGATGAACAAATCCGAGAACTCACGGCCTTATTGCGATTCCTGGTAGGAATCATGAATACGTCTTGCACTTGCAGCATTGCAATTATCGTTGCAATTTCCTCACTGCAATTAAAATCGCCTAAAAAGTAACCGGTAGGGAGTGACAAAAAGAACTTCTCAACTGCTAAAGTGATAAAAATTGACTGCATCTACCTGATGTAAGAAGACATTTACTGTGCATTGGAGGAAGTGGGAATTCGGACATACGCAAACCAAGGGGATTTGTGAGCATGCACCTAAAGACTTTAACATGGTATTTAATAAAATAACACTGAAGTGTTAAAGAAACATCAAAATGACAAAGTACCGAAAGAAAATAAATGGGAACTGTCAGCGACAGAAACATAAAGAAAAGAAACTAACGAACTTCTCGTCTAGTGCCCCAAGAGCATACAACAACTCGAGTGCGGTGATCATCGACCATGATGGAGGTCGCTAAAATATCACAATTCAAAAACTCAATGTGTATTCAGTGAAAGACGAATAGTACTCCTAATTTAAAAAGGAACAATTACTTAATTATTTTACCGACAAATAATGAAATTTGTGGACATTCTGAATCCCCAGTGCTTTTAACTGGAGAATGACTGGAGCCAGATGACACCGCTGAATCTCGGGTACCGTACCCTCAGGAAGTTTTTCAAACTGCGATTCTAAAAAATCGATAAAACCTTTTGGAAAACATACTATTCACAATGCACCTTCCTATTTTCTCAAATTATACAAAAATTTAACAAAGGTTAGTTGCATTGAATTGACCACGAGAAAAACAAACAAAAGCAATGCGAAGTGTGAGTCCATGACTAGTGTTTCTGACTTGAACTTGCCGCAAACCAAATACAATCAGTCTCCAAAAATATTACTCCAACACTACTACGTCGAAAACAATTATCTATATCTTAAAACACGTACCAGGATATAACCTATACGCTTTCCCAGGCCTAATTCTTCCCGCTCGCCCTGCCCGTTGCTCCGCCGACGATTTCGATATTGGTAAGCGCATTAGTGTCTCAATTCCGTTATCAGAATTCATAGCTCGTAACTTGACAAATCCACAATCGACCACTGAAAAAATACACGAACATTCTATCGGCACTGAAAAATTGTTGGACACTTATTTACTAGACCAGCCGGATACCATATGCTATTCCAGGGATCGTGACAGAGGCTTCGGCGATATTCGTGGCGACCACGACTTTTCGAGTTCCGTGTGGAGTAGAATCGAATGCTTTCAACTTAATTAGTGAATCAACTTTAGGAAATGAAGTTTTATTTAAGACTTCTTGGTCTAACACACTTGTTCACGAGGAGGAAGAGAACCATAACACGGAACAATCCACAGCTTGTCGACATCTCGCAAATTAGATGATCCATCAGATAGGAGTTCACATACCTTAATAAATGAAGTAAAAATCTAGTCGTTACCTTCTCAACAGGAAAAGATGGCAGTAAAAAAAATCCATGTTTTTTTTGTCACTTAAAAGCAAATATGAAGTCTGAGTTATTTGAAATTGTTCTAGGGCTATGTATCCCTTTGTATTCAACATATTACATATTTTGCTACGAAGGATCACGTCAGGACTGGGTGCAAAAGAACTGCTCATTTTTACAACCAATACACAGACCTTTCGGAAATCAAAAGGTGATAACGAGAGACAATACTTAGATTCTAATTTCCACTTAATTAATTAGTTATTTATCCTTTGATATCACCGACGTCAAAAACACAACCACAGATAACTGTTGCAGACTTTATTTTGATCAACAGTACCTGGATTACTTCCTCTTGGCCTGTGAGAAACACCAAAATATCACCAGGTATTTCGTTTTTATGAATATCTAGCACCGTGTCAACTGTGGCTTTGATGTAATTGGGTACAGATCTAGAAGTGTAGCAGTAGTAATGAACCTCAAGGCAGAAGAAAATATAAGTAACAACAAATCAACATAATTACAATAAGAAATTTACAAACGTTTTTGTATAGTAGATTGCAACTGGATGTGTGCGTCCTTCGACTGACATTATACAAGAAGTGTTAAGATCGCTTTGACTGCTTTCATTTAGTTCAAAGAAGTCACGGAATAGCTGAAAACGAAAGGTTAGATGACCAGTACCGAACCTAGGAAATTGTTAGCTGGAGAATCGCCTTCAATCTAACCGTGTTTTATCGGTATTTTGAGAAGTGTTTTCAATTTCTAGCAGCGCTAATACGAAAAAAAACCTCAAAGTTTAATTGAAACCTTAGTGGGTCATATGAACAGCTCGTAATAATATAACTTTCAGAATTCTATAGCATAAAAGTGGCAATAGAATATACCTCAGCATCCAATGTAGCTGACGAGACAATTATGCGAAGATCAGGACGTACTATTAGTACTTTTCGAAGCAAGCCTAACAGGATGTCAGAATTGCAAGTTCTCTCATGAGCTTCATCAATCATTATCACACTTCAACCATAAAATCTTATCAGTAATAAAGTCACAATAACTGCACACTTCTAGAACTCACCTGTACTTTGAAAGCAGTGGATCTGTTAACAACTCCCGCAAAAGTATTCCATCAGTCATATACTAAAGAGACATTAAAGAAGGAAAACAAGAATACACATATGAGCGTACTAGCAACGATGTGCAACTATTTGAGTTCGTTACACACTGCAAATGAAAAAAAAAGAAAAAACGCTACCCCTTGCCAACAGTCTTGCAATGTTGTTTAAGTTGTACTCGCATTATACTAAACCAAACATTGTATAAGTATCCTTCTTAACTTCATTTTTTCATAATACTTCATAAACTACAGTATCCTTCGAACGGTTTTACTGCCTCATCGTAGCTGGGTGCTCCTGGATGCCGGGATGCGATGTACAGCGAGGGATTCATCCCCCTAACAGGGTCCTCCAAGCTGAGGAGTCCGGTTTCCCAATATGGAAGCCCAGCTAAAAGTAAACCAATATCAGGATCCATCATCGTTCTGATATAAAACTAGTCGCATGGTCGCAAATCTCCTCCTGATCCACAAGGGCGGCGAGTGTCCGCGGTGGTGACGTCCTGGGGTAGACTTCGCCTAGACTAACCTCGGGACTCCAAGGAATCACAACGGCTTGATTAGCGAAACTCCGGAAAAATGGGAATTTTGCTGAGACCCGCGCAACCAGTGAAGACGGATCATCCAAGTATCCAAGTAAGTAAATAGCACTATAAGAGTTGAATCTGGTTTATTCATGTAGACCCGATTACCAGATGTAAACCAATGTCAGTGTGTCACTACTCACCAAAAATTTTCTTCATTACTTTTTACATATGAAAGCTGTTCGGATTCTAGCACACATCCAGTACTGAATGTGTAACTCGCCTTTGATAAGTTAAAGTAAAAGGTAAGGGTTAAGTGGAAACACAGTACTATTAGTAACAGACCATCATTTCCTTAAATATAAACTCAAATACAGGTAGTTTTCACATGTGAACACCGCATTTAAGACAGCCCACCTTAATCTTCGTTTGGTCATCAGTTACGTCATCGAAGCGTACAGTATAACCCACATCTTGTCCCAGAATCGTACCTTTTTCCTCGGCGACACGTGAGGCCAACTGTGACAACAACTGCTGACATTTCGATTGGAATCTTACTTACTCATTACTCATCCTCATTAATACTAACAAGCGTCCTCATCTCTATTTATCTCCTTCGTCGCCTACAGTTCTGTTGAATATAAAAACAACAACGAAAGTGCCAGACTTGACTACAAACTACAGATCCAAACAAAATGACACAATCCAACCTACCGTAACAACAGCAACTCTTCGTGGTTGAGTTATTCCTATCATTCGACCGTCATTCGTCCACCCGGCTTCTAGCAGATACTGTGGAATCTTAAGGGAAATACTATAATTGTCACAATATTGCTGAGATATTTGCAACCCCGGACCGCAGATGTTTGCGGTGGGGAACGATAACAATAATTGTCCTTTTTATAAAACCAAACACCCTGAAAAGCACTACGCAAATAATCTTAAAGTCAGACCTGTGTACTTTTCCCACAACCGGTTTCACCTACAATGATGATCGTGCGATATTTCTCGCATAAGTAGAGGATATGATCTCTATTCTGCAAGGATTCAGAAATAAATGCACTTCACCACATTTCTACACAGAAAACCATGATCAAGCACTAGTAAACCTATTTCTTACTACTTTTTTGCTTACCTTATAAATTGGTAAACGAGCCCTTTGCTGCTTAATGTTGAGTGAGGCGTACGGGTTGTTGTAAACCGTGAGCACATCCTGAAGATCTGTCGATCCAGACGGCTCGGACAAACGATCCTCGAAAATCAAGGGACCAGAGCGCACTTTGTCCGGTGTATCATCTTAAATATGATCAGTAAAACACATTTAATATGGGAGAAAAATTACTGAAACATCTAGATTAGTTGAAATGCCACAAGACCTTGGCGCGTGTGGCGCAGTGGTTGGAGGGTTTCTGCAATACACATGGCATCGATTCCCGCGCCTAAAGCTCACACCATGCCTTCCATCCCTCCAAGATCGGCAAATTGCTACCAGACCTGTCTGGGAAGATAGCTGCACTGGCTTAATACATCGGTAGGCCACCACAAGTCATTGTAAAGGCCGGATATGCCTCCAACGATGCTTAATGAAGTCGAGTGCATGGCACATCCCTCAGGAGCCGATCAACCCCGAAAGCTCTATCCTTTATCCTTTTATCACAAGACTTAAAAAGGCACAAAACGTTCTCAACAATAGTTCAAAATAGGCTATCACACAATGTCTCTCTTAATTCCTAAGAAACTGTAAATTCTGCTGATATCTTCAACAAAAAAAAGCCTTCCATAACCAATCGCTGCAGACCAAATGATGCCGCTTTAGTTATCACCATAGGCAACTCCAATACGCAAACTATGAAGGCAAAACTTCGTACTTGAAAACAATACGTAATATCTTTACTGACCTGGACGCATAAATTTGAACCGATTCCTTGGATCGGCATGTTGCTCACGATATCCGTGACCAGGATGATATTCCGGCATCCTAAATCCAAATTCCCATGACAAATTTGACCTTATAAACCTTAGATAAACCGATAAAGTCGACCTTAGAAGTACGAAAAACATGCGTTGGATTCGTAAAACTAGTAAAGGCTCTCGTTGGTCTCTCGTCGTTGGTCAATCCCTGAGGGATGCGCCATGCATTCGACTTCATTGAACATCGTTCGAAGCGATTAAATGCATATGAGGCATTTACAATGACTCGCGGTGGCCAACCGATGTATCGAGCCAGGCCCGCTATCCTGGCAAACAAGTCTGTTACCCACCAACTTGCCGACCTCGAGGAGATGGAAGGCTTTGTGAGGAGCGATCCCAGGTGTATGGAGAGCGCCTGCGCTACATGTGCCCTTGTTACGCACTTACTTCGATACTTGGAAGGGACATCCTCACTGGTTGTGCGGGCCCATCTAAAATTTCCACTTTTCGGAGTCTTGCTAGTTTAGCCATTGTGGTTCTCCAGATTCCCGGGATCAGCCTGGCCAAAGTCTGCCCCAGGTCGTCACCACAACAGGCAGTTGCCGCCCTTGAGCATCAGAGGGAGATTTGCCACCATGCGACTAATTTGATGCCAGGACGGCGGTGGATCTTGGTATTAGTTTACTCCTAGTTAGGCTTCCTGATGGAAACGCTGGACTCCTCAGTTCGGGAGGACCTGTTGGGGTATGAATCTGGCCGCTGTATATCGCAGTCCCACATTCGGGAACACCTCTCAGCCGCGATGAGAACTCTGCTCCTGTTATGGATTATTAATATAAAATAATTGTGAACGTAGCACCAATAAATACCAAATTATAGAAAAAACCATGTGTAAAAACAGGAACTCCGAATTTCGAATACAAAATTTAGGCGTAAACTTCTACACCATCGCAATAATGCGGAAAAACGTAGACCGTATTCTTTACTATGTTCATGTAATGAAATTGCTTTCGCTCCAACTTCTCTTAAGGTTTCCTAGTGATCTTCAGTGTTGCCTTTTGCCAGTTTCAATGTTCATATGTTTCCCAATGGTTACACTTTTCAGTTAAATGATCCTACTCGAGCAGAATAATCGAATCACCATCGATTTATTGGACTTGAAGTTCACTAATGCGAAAGAAGGGTGAGTGCCATCGATATGGAAGTATATTGAATGGTACTGAGCAGTTCGATTGCGCATGTCACTAAATGATCGATAGAAATGGAGACTTTCTTGGTGTTTATGCGAGCGACCGAATCGATGATCATCCAGATTACATCTGATAGATGGAGGTCCCCCATCTCCAAGTAAAAATGCAGGTTTTCAGCAAGAAGCTAGAATTCGTCGATGCCCAGTTCGCTGACTTTGACGGTGTACTCTATCATGTTTCGAATCCAGATGGTGACAAGACAAAAATACGAGTACGACTTTTTCTAATTCTATTGTTTCTTTGAGCTTTTTTTCTCTTTCAACATTCCACGACTATTCCTCAGTGCTGTTTGACTCTAATACTTATTTACTAAGATACTTGGATGGTCCGTCTTCATTGATTGTGCCGGCCGCACCAAAATTTCCACTACTTTCTGGCGCAATCATCGTCCATGGTGGTGGTGGTCTGCTTCGAACATGGTGACGTCGAGGATATCCATTCCGAATTACTAAAATAGTTTTCATATGCGAATACAGATGGTTGGTGTTGGCCACCACTATTTCCATTCATCATTTGGATGGCCTTCCAAAAGGAAGCTTGCATTCTGTTCGAGTTCATTCCATTGTTCTTTTCGTCCATCTGTCACCTGTTCTTCTTACAATGTCATCAACCCAACTACGTTTCGCTATTAATGGATATTCTCTTAGATCCCGAAAATGGGATGTGTTCCGAAGATCTGATCTTCGCATTCCGGCTAGACGTTGTGAGTACCGGTTAGATTTCAGAAGACGTTCGCACGCTCTCTGGATGGTTTGCAGACTTCCCGATATGGTTTAGGTGGCAGCGGCCCACATTCCTGCTGCATAACAGCGCCTGAACCGTTGAGTCAAAAAGGTGAATTTTAAATCCTTTAATCCTTACGGGACCTTTAAGTGCCTTTTTTGAGAGGCTCGAGTGCGGCTTAAGTAGCTGTGCTTCTTCTATCTGATTCTCCTTCATATTGTTGTCTTATGTTCACTGAACGCCCTAGGTGCACGTACGAGATGGTCTCTGTAATCAGAGAGCCATCCATTTTAATTTGTTCGCCTTCGCACCATCGGTTTTTCGTGAACTGGGTCTTCGTCTTATTTATGCGCAATGCAATCTTCGCTCCGACTTCGTTGAGTCCATTGAGCCTCGTCTCTGCTTCACTGATGTTCCTCGGAAAAAGATGACGATGTCATCAACGAAACGAAGATTTGATAGGAATTTTCCATGAATGCGTACGCCCTTCTTGTCCCAATCGACCGACCTCGTTATCCATTGCAATGAGGAAATAAACTGCATATGGGTATGATGTGGGATCGATGAAAAAGATGTATATTTGTGTACAGTTGATGTATATAAGACGGGTCCTGTTGTCCTTACTCTACGAACAGTGATAAGACTGCATTCGTCTAGACACTGTTAAACGGTTTTTATAGTCGATAAAAGTTTGAACAAGGTTCAGGTGGTAATTTCGACAGCCTTCTATGTTCCGTGTGACACGGCTTGTATATGATCCATGCTGCAGAATCCCTTTCGAAATCCTGCTTGCTCAACTAGTCCTGCCTCATCCAAAGTCTTTGTTATTCGCAAAGAATAATCGTCGCAAGCAACTTGTAGAATACGTTCTACATTCCCAACCATATTGGACGGTAGTTAGGAAGAATTTTCGGTCACCTTTCTTGGGTAGGATGGCCGTGTGCGAGGTCCCTCAGTGGTCTGGGATTTTCTCCTTTCTGTCTTACACCCTCCCATCTAATAATCTCATACGAAATCATACCACTGCGCTTAGCTATTCATCTCCAACTTTCGTGTCAAATGAAGTTCAGTATCATTAATTGCTACTCACTAACTGGTAGAGCTGATGAAAGCGAACCTGATGTGTTCTACAACCAGCAGGAGAAAGTGATCCGCAACGAAAAGTTGAATTAATTTGTTGTCGGAGACTTCAATACCAGATGATGAATAGCCAACGTAAATGAATACATGACAAGGAAATTCGGAATAGCAGAACGAAATAAGAATGGAGCTGTCTTGTAGTACTGCTGTCCGCAACATGTCTCTTCCATAGTAATCCATTTTTTGAGAAGGGAAGTCTACGATGGACATAGGAGTCTCCTAAGGGCACGATTCATTCGAAGATCGATCATATTCTCAGTAACAGAAAGTGGCGCCACTTCGACACCTCATGTAGCTGACCGACAAAAGGAGGGTCGAGCGAAGATTACAAGCTGTATGTCAACTTAGAACTTGTGCAGAACTCGCCTCAGTTCCTCGAACAAGGAGTTCAGATTTCACCTCCATTACCCACAGGGTGTTGCTCGAAAAGAGTAAGGAACTGGAGTTTAATCCTATAGCAACATACTTAACAAAGCTGATAATAACTGTCAGCTGCAGAAAATTTTTGCAGGAGCATTTACAGCGGTACGGGCAGAAAACCTTATTGGAAGGATCTAATACTAAAACGTGCCGTTGGGATCCGTGCGACTAGTGCTCCGCTATCCACTTTGATGAACGAAGATGGGACTATCACTACATCCCGCCATGATGTCGGTTTGTTGGTGGAAAGGCACTCTAACAATCTTTTCTGTTCCACAATCCCCGTCTTGGAACTAGAAATCTCAGTTTGGTGAAAAACCGCCAGGGACTCCACCCTCTGAATTTCGAGTTGCGTTAGGAAGCATGAAGGCAGACAACACTCCAGGACCTAAAGATATCAAATTACTTTCTTCCCGTAACCCACACGAAATCTCATTCTCAGAAAGGAGAAAATTCCAGACTACTGAAGGACCTCGCACACGGCCATCCTACCCTAGAAAGGTGACCGAAAATTCTTCCTAACTACCGTCCAATATGGTTGCGGAATGTAGAATGTATTCTACAAGTTGTTTGCGACAATTAATAGTGGTGATGAAGATATGATCCGATCTTCTTGCTTGAAGAACTGAGGCAAATTTGACACAGCTTTTCAATCCTTCGACAAGCATCTCGTACTCTTCGGTCGGCAGTCACGTTTGGATAGGACTTCATTCAGAATGTTCTCGTATACAGCTAGACCTTTTCCTCGTGGTCGATGAAGAGAGTTCTTTTCCAGCTTGCGGCTGAATCGAATCTTCGCGCGAAGAATGCGGTGACCGGAACCAGTACAGAATGACGGAACTACCGATGTGTTAAGTAGGCACCATCTTCTGTTTGTCAGAATGCGGTCGATCTCCGCATGAGTCATGTCGTCGGGAGACTCCCATGTCCAGGGGTGGCTTTCTTTCTTCTGGAAAAACGAGTTTCCATTGAGGTGACGTGCTGCTGACAGGAGTCCTGCGAGACGGTTTCCATTCCCACTTTGCCTCTTAACCCAAAATTTCCGACAGCGACATCGGTTAGGCAAAACCTGTTTACTATGATGTGGTCTATTTCGTTATGGTATTCTCCATTGGGAGACTCCCACGTCCAGCGTTGAAGGTTGGGATTCTGAAGTTTCGAGTTACCATCCTTTTTTTTCTTTATGTAACTTTGACGCGAATATTTACCATTAAGGAATCTTTCAAAAATGGCTGCTGTTTGGGCTAGGACACGCAAGTGTTCTATAAAAGTGAAGCGGTTACACTTTTTCCATTCTTAGCTAAAAGAATAGTTTAAACATGTTTCAGTTGAGCATATCGTTGAAGTTTTTCAAGGAACTTCAGGAACATGGTGCTGATAATGTGAGCGTTTCTTTCTTCATCAGGAATTCAGTCCCAATCACTCATTACTGTTCTTCTAGCTTCTTCGTCGCGAGTACGATTCGTATCTGACCACACCTGAGCCTGGATACAGTGTTTCGCTAGTGTTCGATCTCACTAATCTACCTGCTGATCATAGTGAGCTCAGTAAGTTTAATATTTTTTTCATGGCATCTTTCTACTGTCTGACCTTCCTAGGTAGTTTTAGTTCAAAAGGCATCTGCATTAAAGAGGAACTGCTTCGCCTCCGTATTCGAGAAGTACTTCGAATTTCAAGAAGCAGGACAAGAAGGCCAGCAAAGGGCTGTGATTAACTACAGGGAAGACGAGACAATGTTGGTAATTACCTAATTTTTCTCTAGTTTCCTTTTGTCATCGTAACCACTCAAGGTTCTGATCAGTATTCAAATACTTGATTTTCTATTGAATAGAATTTAAACTGTTGTCTTTATAGGTATATTGAAGCAAAAGCTGACCGTGTTACCGTCATATTTAGTACAATTTTCAAAGACCCTGATGACGTCATTATCGGGAAGGTGTTTTTGCAGGTAGTTTCAATCAGGAATTGGAAAAATTTTGGCCTGCTAAGTGGTATTTTGTTAAAATGTCTTCCAAAAATGTTCATAGTAGTGTAATTAGATGAACTTGCAATTTTAAAGTGATAGAATTTATAGCGACAGAGGAACAAGACGGCGTCAATTGCCACGTTTATCTTTGAGATGGTAATCTCTATAGCGGAAGAACTATGTCACTTTTAACTCTTACAAAGTTCCAGGAATTTCGTGAAGGGCGAAAAGCAAGTCAAACAGCTCCAGCAGTTATATACTCCCTAGGCGAACCTCCACTTGAATTACGAGATCAACCAAACGCAAAAGTCGGCGATAATGTGGGCTACATCACCTTTGGTATGTGAGAAGCTGGTGCAGCATTACGTTCTAGAGTGTGCATGGTTAGATCACTAGAATCTGTTTTAGTGTTGTTTCCTCGACATACGAACAAGAAAGCCCGCGACAACACAATAGATTTGATCCACACGTTCCGTGACTATCTCCATTATCACATCAAGTGCTCGAAAGTTGGTGTAGTTTCTTCCCTTTATGTAAAAGCACTGTATGCTGCCTGTTGTTACCTGTTGTTTCCTTTGAAACTAGATGACCAAGCTGCTTACTTTTCGAGATTATTTAGGTGTATATGCATTCAAGAATGCGTTCAAAGACTAACGACTTCTTGAAGGTTCTCAATCGCGCTCGGCCGGAAGTAAAGTTGGAAAAGAAAACTTTCAGGTAAGTGTTCAACAATGTAATGAACCGTCGTGAATCTCTGCACTCTTGCCTACAACACACTACAATGAAGCGAGTCCAATGCTTACATAAAATATATGAGTAGAACGAAAAACCGAAAGGACTTGTCATGTTTAGAATATTATTGTATTGTTTTCGTGGCTGGGAGGGGTTCCTGCGTGTCGGGCTGCGATGTTAAGCGAAGAGATCCATCCCCCAGCAAGGTCCCTCAAACTGAGGAGCTTGACGTTTGTACCCAGAAGCCCAGCTAAGGGTAAACTAATATCAGGAATCACCACCGTCCAGGTACTAAATTAATCGTGTGATGACAAATTACCCTCTAATCCACAAAGCCGGTACCTGGGGTGGTGACGACTGCTTCGGCTAGCTTGATCTCGGGACTGCAGAGAACCAAATGGCTAGACCAGCAAGTCGGAATTGTGCTGAAGCCCGCACAAGTAGTGAATATGGTCCATCCAAATATCCAACTAGGTATATAACATATCATGAAGAAACTCATTCGGCAGAACTTTGACTACCTAACAGGGATAAAACCTGCTTTGGAACAGAACTTCCAGAGCGTAACTGTTCCATGTCAGGAATAGAACTGAGCTAATTGAACGAATGTTTACGGTATCACGCGTTTCGTTTTTCATTCTTAGTTGGACTTTTCCAAGACATTGAGCATGACAATGTGACTTTCTGGACCATGTCCATAGCGCTAACTTATACCAATGCTGGACTCTACAAATGGACATTTCTAACAGAACTTTACATTATTTCCTTTAGCACACATTAACAATTGCGTTAATACCAATTTTCTCCATTGTATGCGTTTCAGTGGACGTTCATATGTACCCAGTTAGAAACTCTAATGACCGGTTGTTACAAGGACGGATATCGACTACTTTATAAATCATTTTCACGTCTCTTTATGTGTGTACACCTAGATAAGCTTGTAATATCGACACTATGAATAAATGTATTTACTTAACAAAAGGCACGCAATATATACAGAGATAGCAACGTGGAATTGAGGTACGCAGGGTATGCAGATCATGAGAAAGCGAGACTCGCTCAATGGATCATTGACATGAAGATGTGGCAGTGGTGTCGGAACAAGATCATGATTTCGGATATGTTTACGCTGGAATGGTAAAGTGCATGAATGGAAAGGAAAAATGGAAGGGAAGTGTCGTACGTTCATTTGGCGCCCAATAAAACGCGCGTGCCAATAATCGCGCCCACACCGACAAGTGCGGCGGCGCCAATTCCCAGCAGACTCCATCGGCGACTGGATCGCCGACGTTCGGCTGCTTCGCGTTGGGCGGCATCACGACGCACAATGTCGCCACCGATGAGCATGAAATTCTTCTGCAATCAAGGAAGTACTAATTTGTTAAATTACGCGTTATACAGATACGTTTCAAGAACATAAGTCCATTGAAATTCACGTTACAATAACGGCTAACATGTTGCAGTGAGAAATACCAAGGTTTCAAAGAAGATGAAAAGAGAAATCCGGAAGGAACAGAAAGATATTATGAAAATCGAGGAAGTAGTAATAACTTGCATTTGAGATCATATAGACACTAGACAGCGTTCCCCCAAATGCGACACTACTTTCAATAGGGACCAAAGCCTAATTTTTGCAGTTTGGCGATAGTACTAAGTAATCACGTATAAGCTTAACATATTATTAGCCTTGCTCTCTTAATGGAATTAGTAACCTTACTAACTTTAACATTTGGAAATAGGCCCTAGATATCACAATCACTGCACATCGTTCTATTATGACAGTAGAAAATTGTCATCGTAATCGAAGAACCACTTCCACTTGATTCTCATCTCACAATGAGTTCCTTACAAACTCGCGTCTTCTCCATTTGTAACACGAAGAAACTCGCTGGAATATATTTTTGCTCCAATCTAGGCTTCATTACCTAGCAACACGGCGATATACGGCTTCGAAGAAATGGTGTAACCTTGTCATACATCCTTTCCTACGCAGTTGGAAAGCTGCCGATGGAAGAATTGCATTATTACGGTTCAGTTGCGATAGCGTAACAGTAGAGTTCACATAACTTTCGCTAATACATTGGAATGAGAGTTACTTTCGATCCATCAAACATTGCTTCTCAGTTTAGCTTAATAGGTGCTAATCCTAAACGTACAATCTTAGCCACGTCATTGATGAGGACCAAGCAATGGAACCCTGTCGGTGTCTTGCTTGCTAAACTATTTTGTTTTGTCAAACGGCTTGATTTGCTAGGACAGTCTTCGTGAAGAACACTTAGAAGGCACTCAATAAACAAGTAGATAACACTCGTGAAAGTTCTATCGAACATATTTGTTCAGCAGGACGATCATGCTCGTGGTCCCGAATAAGTGAGGAGTTCAGGTAGCTAGTACAGAACAACAAAAATCCGTCTCTGTAGTGTCTTTGGCGCACAATCCTCTCCACACCGTCATAAACTGGGCTTTCATGACCTTTCAGCAGTTCTCGCAACCACTTAGGTGGAAATGGACTACTTCTGACTGACTGAATTTTCTACCTGGAGATCGGAAGTGCTATAGTCCTCCTATCGTCCGTACTAGAATGGGACGGGGATTTCCGTTTTGCCACAGTGCTGAGCAATGGCATGCAATTCCATTACTAGCTGGATTCTCGGAAGAAAGGTCCAAACTCTACTCAACTAGCACAACTATGCCAGCGATATTAAACAAATGTATATGTCTAGACACAGGAATACATGTACGCAATCTTCCTGCTAACTCAAATATCCGTACAAACACCAACCCAACTCCTCTCATCTTCAACCCATGTTAGTCGTATTCGTTTGTCAATAAATTTTGAAGTGTATGTGGCTATTTGTTGGACCTCACGCCGAAAGTTACGGGCATACAGTCGAGTAGCTACCAACCCACCGAACGATATTAGTCCAACCTGAAATAAAAAATCATCGTAATAACATCAATACGAGCATAATGCGTTGGACGCAGGTATGCGGTACAAAAAACCTACCAATCTCCCATACGACATACCATTTTCCATTTCGTCTGCTGTTCGCCCGAACTCATCTACGATCTATAACTGTGTAATCATTCCTTTGAATAATGAAGAATAGAGAAGTTCCATTAAGATTAATCCACCTCACAATAGCGATTGAACGTCAAATTCTCATTTTCCAATAATTCGTCTGCGAAACCATGCAATTCAGTGCGATGACGACGTTCAAATATGTAGGCAACTTTCCTGAAATATCAACTCATAAGGAATAATGGAAATAACAGGCGCATCAAACGAAACATATTTTGGGATTAAGAATAGACTCGTCGTTTTCGTTCTCACATATTTCCGTGTCTGCTCACATCTAACACTTCCTTTTACATGACCCGTCATCATGTGTACAGTGCGAATCCCAGCACCTCTTGAATTCACTCGTTTTCCTCGCATTCATCGTCCACAGTGGACTTCGAACATTTCGCGTGTTGTTTCAGCTGTTGCTTGAGGATTATGTCTTCTTTATGGATGTCATAGAATGCTCGTCGATTCTCTTTGAAATCTTGGAGACAGCCAGGTTAAGGCGTTCCGACATGGATTCGAGAACGTTGGGGCTGGATCGAACTAATGCCTTTCGCTTCCTGATCGACGGCATCGCCAGTCACTAGACATATTCAACATAGCATCAAAAAATCTGCAAGACAGACCTCATCATCTCATGCTCAGGTTGTGTGCCAAACGGCAGCTCTGGCTGCTCAAACCACTCCATTTTGTCCTGTTTCATTCGCCATGAAAGATAGTCAACCTAGAATAGTTAATAGCGTTTTATGCCTTACGAGTTCACATATTTTGTGCAGCACATACTAGCTCCGACTCACCACAAAACCTTCCAATTCGAGCCTCGGTTCTTCAAAATCTGGCACATTTTCCACATGATCATCCATGCCCTACCTAAACTATTTATTCTATACTCTTCTACTTTACAAATGCCCTACAACGACATCGAAAATGGTTCACGACACTTTTAAGTACATCCTCTATGTTGTGACAAAGAAAAAAGCGGAACACAGGAGAACCACAGTAGGAATAAGAGGTTCGTAGCACGACATAAGTACTTATACAGATGGCTTTATGGTAAAAAAGGACTGAAGACGAGGAAAAAGCGAGAATGAGTCTTCGGAGAACGATATCAATATGTCTTTGTTGCATGGTACTGTTTAGACGGCCAAGCATTGATCACCACAATCGTTGCGATAATCACCGATAGAGCCAGCACCAAGTAACCACTTTTATAAATCTAAATCAAGAGTTACTACGATATTTGCAAAGAAACAAAACCTATGGGTGCTTAGTTTTATAAGGAGACATTGACTAACCGCCTTAATGTTATCCATTCCTTTCGCAAGGTCAAACCCAATGAAGCGAATTCCATTCAAAGTATGGAAAATGATTGGAAACGCGATCACAAACTAGAATTTGACCATCAAACATGAACTGCCTTTGGCGTATCCATAGTCATGAAAGAAAAATATGGTTAACAATAACACCAACTTTGAAAGCAGAGGTGATCACTGCTGGAATGTGCCAACTGCGTATGTACTCCACAAACTGGGTGAAATTAAACGGCAAGACGGCAAAACCGACTCCTGTAAAATAAAAGCATGAAGGACAAAGCTTTCGGAGAAGATTAGTCGCTGAGGTATGCGCCATGTATTCGATTTCATTAATCATCGTTGGAGGTGACTGAATGCATACATGGTTTATACAGTGACACGCGGCGGCCTACCGATGTATCGAGCTAGTGCTGCTGTCCTCCCAGACAAGTCTGGTACCAAATTCCTGACTCCGGAGAGAAGGAACGCTTAGAAAGCTTGGGCGCCGGGATCATTGCCCTGTGTATTATAAGGCACCTAAGACCACTACCCCACACGCACTCCATAAATCTTTAAAATATGTGGGCTTTAAGAACAGTAATGCATTAACGGTCCAAAGCTTCCTAACCCGATTAGTCTAGTACATGAAAAAATAACAGGACTTCAACAAAGAAAAAGGAAATTAAATAAATTGTATCACGAACCTCCGAAAAGAAGTACTCCAGCCATTACACATCCACTGATTCGATGGAGACCTGACACCTGTGAGGAACCGGATTTCATATTGGTGCTGGCTCAACAAAGGTAAACATGCATCAGTAAATATTACTTTAATCTGCCTCAAAACTTTTTCTAAAGCAACACAAATAATAACAATCGCATATGCGGTAGAGCGAAATTTAGCTGAAATGGTAGTAATTTCCTAACCAGCTTGCGGGAAATGGCACCGCTACCGCGACCATCGTGATTTATACCACCATCGGCCAGTAAATGGTTAGAGCGCTGCATGCAAGAAGTACTACACTTAAAAACGGATGTAAAGTTATCGACAAACCATCCAGGTGAGCTGAGGCTGATATATGGCGAGATGTGGAGCGATCGGACGTCCTAGAGCCTTCTGGCGTTGGAGATACGCCCAACCCCACTCCTGAACTGGGGTCTTCAGCTCGGAACGACGACTGATCGTGCTCACGATGAGCCGACTTGTGGTAAGCTGTCGTGGAGTGACACGGCACAAAATCCTGCTCAGTAACATATTCTCCTATAAAAGGATATTCATAACCCGTGAATAAATCGATCAATATATTTTTTAAAAGTTCAGATAAAGTGAGAGAAACAGATTGTAGGCACACTAACGTCCTCGCTCTTTTACGGGTCCAAGTCACTATCACCAATCGAACACGAACAATTATATAGCAAAATGCTGACGGACGGGAAAAGTAGGGAAAGGCAAGAAGACCGCAAATATCGAAATGATTCATGTTTCAGTAAATCGAGAAAAGGGTGAAACGTGAACATCGCGACCACATGGAAGGACTGTATGTACAAACGGAAGGTCATTCTATGAAGGTTAGGCAACCCAACATCTTTCCATCACTTGTGGTACCAACGCATCGGTGGAGAATTCATGAAAACTGAAAGCTTTTCTTAAAAATCAATACGCTCTTCCTTTTGTTCAGAAATCGAGAACATTGGAACACGTCAGAAAACAAATAATCCGCGCTCAAAACCGGGCTGTCGGACGCCCCACACCCAACGGCTGTGCAATTGGCGCGAATTATACGCGAATTTGCGGACCTGATGGGAACGACATGTTTGCTGTCGTTCAGGTTTCTGAGTCTTGATACTTACTTGATACTTGAATTGCCCGTCTTCACTGGCTGTGCGGTCCTCGGCATAATCTCCATTTTTCGGAGATTTGCTGGTTAAACCATTGTGATTCTCTGGATTGCTAAGGTCAGCCTGGCCGAAGTCTGCCCAGATCGTCATCACCACAGGGAGTCGCCGCGCTTGTGGATCTGTGGATTGGGGGTTAGCGCAGTGGTTAGTGGTTGCCATCGACCAGTAAGCAAAGCCACCAGTTTGATACTCGTCCCAACGCTTTCCTCCAGTCCACACAGGAACGCCTAAGCCCGGTCTCTCTGGGAAAAAAAACCCAGCTAGTAGTAGTAGTCGTATTACAATACTTTATGCTACAAACCATGGGAACTGCTTCATCTGCTGTTAGAGCGCTACGTTGCCCTACAAAGCGCGAAACACAGGTGGTTCCGTGTGAATATCCCGAAAGTGACTCAATGCACTAGTTCGAATGGGCGACAATTCCTTATATTAATATGTTCCTCTGTGTCGTAGTAATGCCTCGTAGGTCCTGCTTGCCAAAACTCGTTCTACAACGGTGTTCAACCAAAAGTGAGCCCGTTAACTGTAGCTTCTGTCTTCACTACTTTTTACTCCGTCAACCAAAACGAGATGACTCTCAGAGAATCGTATTCGTTAAATTGTAAATGCCAACAGTGATAATGAGTCATCTTTCCATTTTAATTGTGGTCATTCTCGTGTATAATAATGATCTGGAGGCAAACCTAGTGATGTACACCGGTCTTTGGAGAAGGATCACTTTCGTCTCATAAAGAAGACTAGAAATAGGTCAACACTGCCGCTTCTTATTCTGTTATTGATTCATCTTATATCATGATAAGCTATATACCAATGTGTAATACCAATTTATGGTCATGGTAGACTGTCCGGAGAGCGATGGCACATTACCTCTTGAGACACAACCGTCATCGTCATCAAGCAATCATTTCCCCACCAGCGGATGAGACAGTGGAGATATGTTTGAGGATAGCATCCATCTAATCGTTTCTGGAGAGGCAAAAATTGGAAGGAACACTAAAGGAGATACATTAAGCAACAAATCAGACCGAGTGGACTTGACATGGTGAACTGAAGACTGTTCTCTATCATGACGTCTACATTCTAAGTCGGCATACGGTAGACCGATTTTAATGCAGTGGTCTTGTGATCGGAACTACTATATCTGCTCAAATTTCAAGGCCTTTTAATGGTTACCATAAGGGAAAGAAAGTAATATAAGGCATATAGATGTTCATTTCGTTAGTGACTAATGACATGTTACAACGAAAACAGAAATGTACACAACTCAAACATTGATACGAGTACCACTTTCAAGGACCACAAAATCGAGGAGTGGACCATATTCAACCGATTTTTGTGCAAGACAGAGGTTTCATTATAACCAGTGTTGAGAAGAGAGAAAGCTGAGTAGATTAGCGAAAGTCACGCTACAACAAAAATACTTTCAATCACTATTTATCACAAAGCATTTGCAAACTGGATTTGCACAGATGATTTAATAAGGACACGAAAATAATTTTCTAGTTGGCAACCCGCTATGAGAACGAATTACGAATGGGAACAAACTGTCATGACTCGCTTTCCGTAGTTCTTAAACGCATTTCTTCTGACAAAGCGATAACGTATGAATCAGTGCTTCCTGGAGCCGCAGCAGTTTTCTTCTCGGCTTTTCGTTTCTTTGCCTCTCCGGATTTGTGCGCCTAAAAAAATCGCTTACATGAACTATTCGTAAAGATAGATAACCGACCTATTCTGTGGCATATCCGACACGGTTCATTGGATCTTGAGTAAGCAACAATAAACAATTAGTATTATAAAACTAGCATTGCCTATAATGCAATCAGGTGGCACATTCAGACCCACATTCGCTGGTTATAACCCATTCAGTGGACTAATCAGGCAGTCCATCGCTTCTCGATCAGAGTAGATTGACGGCAGACGCGTCTGCGACGAATATTTACTTACTTGGATACTTGGACGGCCCATCTTAACCGGTTGCGCGAGCCCCAGCATAAATTCCACTGTTTCAGAGTTTTGCAGGTTTAGCTATTGTGGTTCCCTGAATTCCCGAATTCATCCAGGCAAAAGTGCCCCAGGTCGCCACCAACATAGGCAGTTGTCGCGCTTGTGGATCAGAGGGAGATTTGCCACCATGCGACTAGTTTGATACCAGGACGGTGGTGGGTCCAGGTTTTAGTTTACGCAGCTGGGTTTCTTGGTGGAAAAGCCGGACTCCTCAGCCTCGGAGACCCTGCTGGAGAGATGAATCGCCTCCGCTGTGTACCGCAGCCCGACAGCCAGGAACACCCTCAGCAACGATGAGGCGGTAAACCATTTGGAGGTTCCGGTGAACAAAACACCGTTTTATAACTTGGTTTCGTCTTGTATATTTGTTACAAAGGGGAAAAAAATTAATTCTTTCAATGAATTTTACGGAAGACGGATGTGGTACTTTGTCCCAGTGAAACTAAATAAAACCAACAACAAAAAACCTCACTACCTTCAAAAAGCGATTGTTAGTAGTTAAAATGCTATTTTATCCTGCCTAATCGGAGAAAGCACTTAAAGCGTAATCGGAGAAACTTCTGAACAAAACATATTTGTAGTATAACAAAGGAAGATTTCTGCAAATTGTTGCCGGTTAGTACGGTGTCGCAATCCAGTAAACATGAAATTACTTATTCACTTGGTACTTGACACATAAACGACCCGTCCTCATTGGTTGTGTGTGTCCCAGCATAATTTCCACTTTTCGGAGATTTGCTGGTTAAGCCACTGTGGTTCCCTTGAATCCCAAGGTCAGCCTAGCCAAAGTCTGCCCCAAGTCTTCACCACTACAGACAATCGCAGCCTTTGTGAATCAGAGAGAGATTTGCCACCAAGCGACTTTGATGCCAGGATGGTGGTGGATTGTGGTATTGGTTTACTCTTAACTAGGCTTCCTGATGGAAACGCCGGACTCCTTCTCATCCTGGGAGGCCCTGCCAAGGATGAATCCCCCGCTACATATCGCAGCCCGACACCCAGGAACACCTAGCCGCGATGAGGTGGTAAATCGCTAGGAGGTGAACATGAACCAATGAGGAAAACCAGTATGCCTCTAACAATTGGACAGAAAGAAACAAGGAAGTGTCACTGATCAAAGTGAACGCCATCATTTTCAATTGAAGATGGAAAGATCTTGGCGTTCATCAATCTCTGAGCAATGTGTCATGCATTCTACTTCATTAAGTATCGTTGGAAGTGATTGAATGCATATTTCGCCTTTACAATAACTCACAAAGACCTAATCGAGCCAGTGCTACTATCCTCCCAGACAAGTCTGGAACCGATTTGCCGATCCGGAGGGATGGAAGGCTTGACGGTCCTGGGGCGCCAGGACCGATCCCATGTGTATTGCAGGGCGCCTCCGACCACTGCGCTACACGCACCCCATGACATCAATTACACCGATGAATTACCAAAGCTTGCTAAGAATAATGGCAAAACAAAGAGAAATCAAAGTTTCGCTGGAAACTCAGGAACTCGGACACTCATTTCAATTTGAATAAGGAGCAATTATTTAGTAGAAAAATCACCTTGTTAGTTCTCCACGCTTCCAGTGCTTCAAGTAGTGGAGCAGATATGTGATCGGACTCAATAATATTCAAAGCCTGAAATAAAGAACAAGTGTTTGCCAAGGATGCGAAAGAAATGGGTGTGATTAGCAAAACTTCACCTGGAAAATGTCATCGGTAGTCATTGTTTTCCGTTTCTTAGTAATGGCATAATCGTTAGCATAAGATGTTACATTCAGAATGAACACCTAAAAGCTTAATATGCTTGATTCACCAGGTAATCACAATGAAACAGGATTGTGTAGCTTATAGGACAAAATTCAGCACAGATTTTTGCTAAAAACTGGAGAAAAATATTGAATACCTATTAACTGCGGAAGCAAAAGGTGTTCTCACAAAACTCAGGCAACTATTGAAAAGGTCAAATGATAAGGGAGCCTAGTAAGGGTGGAATAGTTTCCGAGAACAAGTGCTGTAACTTAGCCAATAGCCATTCAGTTTAAGATTAAGCTTTGAGAGACGTGCGAAACAAAGGACCCGCATGGTGTGGTGGTGAACGCGTTACTCCCCGGAAAGGATAATAGCGCGTTCGTTCCCCACCATAGACACCTGCGGTCCAGAGTTTTGCAAATATCTCAGCAACGTTGTGGTTGTATTTCGCTTAGTAACCTGCCATGAAATTTATAGAAGGCAGAAAACAAAACGTTAAAACATTGTGATTTCAACTACAGCCATAGCTTAACTGGGTTCTATGCCGATTTGCGCTCCCCAGATCAACCCCGCTGACGGGTGATTGCTGTGGCAAAAAGATCGATAGAAATAGCTGAGAGACGTGCGAAACAAAGGACCCGCATGGTGTGGTGGTGAACGCGTTACTCCCCGGAAAGGATAATAGCGCGTTCGTTCCCCACCATAGACACCTGCGGTCCAGAGTTTTGCAAATATCTCAGCAACGTTGTGGTTGTATTTCGCTTAGTAACCTGCCATGAAATTTATAGAAGGCAGAAAACAAAACGTTAAAACATTGTGATTTCAACTACAGCCATAGCTTAACTGGGTTCTATGCCGATTTGCGCTCCCCAGATCAACCCCGCTGACGGGTGATTGCTGTGGCAAAAAGATCGATAGAAATAGCTGAGAGACGTGCGAAACAAAGGACCCGCATGGTGTGGTGGTGAACGCGTTACTCCCCGGAAAGGATAATAGCGCGTTCGTTCCCCACCATAGACACCTGCGGTCCAGAGTTTTGCAAATATCTCAGCAACGTTGTGGTTGTATTAAGCTTTGCGTTTAAATAATCTCTTAGATCAATTTGAAGTCTTAACTACTGCCAATTAAGCAGACAGGTGAAATCTTGTACAGGGTTATTTCTACAGCGTATGATTCCCAACATCCACCTGCCGAACATGTCGCAGAAAAACAACTACATAACTAGTGGCGATGGAATATTTGGCAAAGTTACGAGAAACTTGAACAGAATACAAAACTAGCACTGAGTACACTATGAAGGATGAAGGGCTTAAAGTAACAATAACGGAACTCATGATATATGCGCTTAATCCCTAAGACATGGTCTTCTTTCCTACTTTAAGCACGATGGTAGGAAACACTAAGGTCCATTTACTGCTAAGGCCTCATTTCTCCGGTAACAATTTTCCGCACATGAATGTCTATCTATCGATTGATATATAGAACCTCCGTCTACTTCTATTAGCGATCTCTTCGGTACCAGTATGAGATTGCTTTCCCGTTCATCGAAAAGAGCAAAAAATAGATAAAACACGACTCAAACCATAAATAGACAGCTGTTAACGAAAGCTATAACTCCATAGAAAATAATTCAGAAAACAGACAAGTAAATTATAATAAAACCTTACAGATGCAGCTCGAGCAATTGCCGTACGGGCTTCCTTCGACACCGTTCCACTCTGTCCTATGGCCTTATCGACAATACGACTGACTATAGCATGAGGCAGTCGAAGGTCCTCAATCTTTGTGTCTGCCATTGGCCACAAGCTAGGGAGCAATGGGTGTCTTATCACATGGACAAAAGGTGGGGAAACGAATATGGGAACAGAGATATAGGACGTGTAAAGAAGAGAGCAACAAACGGAAAAAAGAACGGAATACTCAAATAGATGTCAAATTATTCTTCAAAATAAAAAAAATGCTATTTCCAAGAAGTTGGAATAGAATCTGACGAAGATGAACATCATCTGTTTCAAAGAACCAAATTCTATTTACAGCAAAGCATGTTAGCCAACGATTATTAAATCCTAGATTCAGACTTCGACGAATGTAAGGAAGATTCTCTTCCCAACGGATTCTTTCGACTTCCCTCATCGTAGCTACGTGGTGTTCCCGGTTGTCGTGCTGCGATGTACAGCCGGAAGATTCAACCGCCCAACGGGGTCTCTCAAACTGAAGAGTCCTGCGCTTCCATCAGGGAAGCGCGGCTAAGAGTAAATCAATACCAGAATTCACTATCGTCCTGATACTATCAAACTAGTAGCGTGGCTGCAAATCTACCTCATCCATAAGTGCGGCGACCGCCTGTGGTTGTGATTACCTGCGACAGACTTCAGCTAGACTGAGCTCGGGACTCGAAGGAGCCACAATGACTAACCAGCAAATCTCAGGAGAATGGAGATTATGCTGGAATCCGCACAGCCAGTGAAGACGGGCCATCCAAGTGTGCAAATGAGATTGAGCTCATTAAGTGGAATCATGGAAAATGAGCATCAATACAAGACGAGTTGAACGACTCATCATTGAAAACAACAATGCTCACAAAACAAAAAATCAATATTCATTATCCTAACATCAATGTGGCACAGCATTTTAAGTACACTTTAACATATCAACTCCAATACCCTAAGAAATGTTCTCTTTACAGATCTATCTAGGTGTACCACACAGGAAGTACTCGTAATATTACAAAAAACTATACAGTACCTATCTACAAAAGTATCTCTGAACGTGTGAAATCACTTGATCAGCCACGGGCGATTCCAAGATGGAAACTTGGGGTACATCATGGACAACGAAAATTCAATGGCAGTGCATAGCAGAATTCAGGACTATTAATGCCAATATAAATTTTCTATAACAAACTTGGGACTTTTCTGACAAGACTTAGACTTAGAGTGGTAACTTAGTCCAATATCTTAAGAGAACATCTGAAAGTAGTAAAAAGTAAATTATACAAGTGAGAGTTTGAAACCTAGCACTGAAATGACTACATCGTAACTTCTTCTACAACCCTAACACAAAACAACGATGTGAAGAAGTTGAGAGCCAGTAGACTGTAAACATAATATGAAATCTAAACTAAAAACCACGATTCACTAAACACTCCACTATGGACAACTCATTTTGAAAATGAAAAAGTTTCTTCGGAGAAGAATCCTGTACGAAAAAGATTTTCGAACAAATATTAAAACCTTAGAATGTCCACCAAGGAATAACTCGAACCGTCACATATTAATTCTTTTCAAGTCTACAACTATTAGATGTGGGCGAACAATTGGGATACTGCTGAAATAGAATTTTATAAAAAAAAAAGAATGATAACGACCTGCTGCTAATTGTTTAGAAGGCCGGAAATGAAAAGTAATGAAGGAAAAAGAAGGAAAATAATAAAAGGAAGACCTTCAGATTCGGATGATCCAGATCTCCTCGATTGCTGCTTTTCGACCCAACACCGGACAAGCCAACGCCGAAATTCTTCACGCACGCACAACGTTGTTGCTTAGTGTTCGGATCGTACAACAACCTCAAACCAGAAAACATTGCAGGTATCTCTTGGCCTTCGGCATCTTCGATTCCAAGACTTGCATCTAATGAACTATTTCATTAAGGTAAAATTCCTAGTTTATACACAACAAATTAAACTTTCTGACCTTGGCACTCCAGCCCAATCTCGCTGTATTCCACCACTTTTCATTGAACACCAAACACGTCCACCACTGTTATGGTGCCATTCGCTATTACACGGTGGAAAAACCTACATATTATAATGAAGAACAGTCCAACTCATTCTTATTTTTTCGTTAAAGAAAGAGGATTATAAGACAAGAATTTCAGTTTAACTAAATTTAAACAGGATTAAAAGGATTTGACTAAAGCGACATGCAAGGGTAGTTCACCTTAAGCTGAATGGATTACAAGCACTTACTTACTTGGATATTTGTCTAGCCCGTCCTCACTGGTTGTGCGGGGCCCACCATGATCTCCATTTTTCAACAATTTGCTGATTTAGTCATTGTGCCTTCCTGGAGCCCCGAGGTTAGCCCCTGGCCAAACCCCCTCCAGTTCGTCACCACCACAGATAGCTGCAGCTCTTGTGGATCTGGGAGATTTGCCACCATGTTTGATACTAGGCCGGTTGTAGATCCTACTATTGGTTTATTCTTAACTCGGCTTACTGATGGAAACGCCGGACTCCTTCTCAGCTTGGAAGATCCTACTGTGGTGTTGAATCCGCCTCTGCATATCTCAGCCCAACACCCAGGAACATCCCCCACCACGATGAGATGGTAAATCGTTGGGAGAAAATTACAAATATTAGATGAAAAAGTGTACTTATAACTGCAAAATTTTTCTCAGTCCACATACAGCAAAGTAGAACTGACTAAAGAGAACATTAGGCCTTCTTTTCTAGAAATGAATAAGCAAACAACGGAAACGAAAACATACCTCAGCTTCTGCCGCTCTGGATTCTTTCCATTCAATCGCCGTTTGCATTCTACCTAAGACCTAAAAGAGAGGTAAAGTACTGCCTTGAAATGTATAATCTTAAGATGAGATAGGCAGCTTCAAAATAGCAATTGAGTCTAAGAATGAGCAAAAGCACATACATCACGCAAGTCGTTAGTTGGATTTCCGTTGATATCGTAATACTTTCCAACTAGAACGCCTACCAACTTGTACTCCTTTTCATAGAACAGTACCCAGTCACGAATCCCTACAAATCAAGTTTTAACTATGAAAATAACAGTAAAGCAGTAACAGGACGAAAATGGAAGGAGCGAAATTGTTCTGCTGGCGCTAAAGTCACAAAAATGCGAGCGGTATTTCAAAACTAGATGTGGAATGTGAACATTTATGAGGTAGTACTCACCAAGAAGATCTTCGTGGGAAAGACCGTCGATGTTGTCAACCAAACCAGCTTCAGTAAAATCGCCACTGACGAAAGCACGTGTGGCATCACGACCTTTAAAACTAGAGTTAGATTGGATGGAAAACCATAACTTAATGATGGGAAAGAAAAGATTAACTTCATGAAAAAGTAATCAGCAAATGAGACGAAATCGATGAAATGACTTCGTATCATGGAGGAAATGTATAAGCCGGTAAGAAATTGAAGGAAGAAAGAAGTTCTAAGAGCTACTGATGAAAAAGAAAGACTGACTAACCAGCAAAGAAGTGGTAACCTCCGTCTTTTCCGTAATGTTTCTTGCCCTTATCGACATTATACACACGTCCAAGAATGGCGAGGTACACTGGCCTTAAAATGGAAGCCACAAAAGAGTTTGAATTCAATTTAAACTTCAGTCAGCATGATTATTTATAAATCCAGCATATTCTAGGAAATTAGAAGTTTGAAGAAGTATGAAGGAAGTATAACCTTGAAGGTCTCGAACCATCGAACAATGCCAACTGCTCGGGTTTAAAAACTTGCATCTCATCACCAAACTGTACCTCAGCAACAATACTCTGAATATCGACAAGAATCAATACGATTGAAATAATACTCTTGTCTTGAAACCAGAAGTAGAACAACAACAACAACAACAACAGAACTTTCAAACCTTCACATCATCCTTAGTCGCTTTGCGATTCGATGATGGCATATGATTCGTACTGAACTTGGTGGCACCTTTCCAAGCTTTCCTAATCCAACCGATTTTTTCCCGAGTATAATCGAACTGTAATTTTTCGAATAGAAGACGTTGCTTACTACTACTCCTCCAGAAACTTATGAACTGGTTAAACTGGTTAAATTTGGCGTATAAACTAGATAAATGCTAAAAAACGAGATTTTTAAATAAGTAAGTCTATAAAATTGCATGAAGAAAGGATCCACCTAGACGTATAGCACTCCAAATACAGCATGTTTAAACCTAAAGTTAGTTAAAAACCACGGGAAAGCACGAAGGGTGCTAGAGAGAAATGATCAAACCTGGTAAAGCTGATCGAGAGTCCATCGAGTCAAATTGGCCAATCCAACATCGTAATAACTGCATAGAAATGACAAGAAAGCCACTTGTACCGCTATATAGGCGAGGCTCGTCGTGTGCAATGCGGGCTTCGATCGCCAGGGTTTGCCAGCCATACAGAAGCTCTGATGGACTACGAACAGTCTTGAAGAAATAACAACTATGAAGCAAGTAATGAAGCTGAAATACCCGGCAACTTAGTGATAAAGTGGAAACCCTTAACAAAGGAAAGATCAAAGAGAAAACCAGGACAAACAAAGGAAAGTTGACAACGAAAGAATTTTAAGCATATGGGACAGGATTTTTCACTTCCGTCTTGTTAACAACATACATTTACTTAAGTATGGGTCTAAAAACGATTAAATGTTCCTTAGAAGTTATAAGGAAATGAATTGAAACCAACACATGAATGAAAAACCCTCAAACAATGCAACAACTCATCAACAGTGAATTAAACAACGAAAATAAACCCATATAATAAATAACAAAGTTACTTCGAGAAAAAGAAGGTCCACAGTGACAATAGTGGATTCTCGACTCGGACCATCGGCTCTTATGAAAACGAAGACGTCGAAACGTCAGCCGAATAGAGATTATATATAAACCTCGTGTAAACTCCTCAAAGAAAGAATGCATATTGATTAGTCGGGCCGAGGATAAAGGAAGGTCGATTTAAAAAAATAAGAAGGTTTTTCAAAAGCACAACAGTCCTCGGTAACGAGGTGTCGAATGGGTTTTCAAACATCCTGGCACTTCAAGAATCGGTCCATTCAGCGTCATTTTAAAGAAAAACGGTGCGAATCCCATTAACAGCCAAATGGAACAAGTAAAAATGAGAGGATTGAGAAGGAACAGATGAAAGAACATGAAGATGGAAGAAGCTTTAAAACATGAACAGAAACAAGAAAATAAACGTAAAGTAAAGATGAGAACCATAGAAAGAAGAAAAAAGAGCCCACCACTGTTCAAAGACCACCTTAGTGGTGTCCAGTTACTTTGTAAAGTGAACTAGTAAACTGCCTGGGGAAGGAAGAAAGAAAGAGAAAGATGAAAAGTATAACAATATACCCATGATGAAACACGTGCCGTTTGCATGGGAACCAATTCGTAGACGTCCGAGTCATCAAAATGAAGAGCTGATAAATTAACAAGTAAGTTAAGGGTTAGTAAATAAATGGTAAAGGAAAAACAGCAACGACCTGTCGCAGAAGTTGTTGTAAAAAGTTTACCTACCAACAGTCAATACGAATTGAAATCATGTCATATGGAAAACACCAAAAATATTTTTGTTCGTTACGTATTTTCTGAAAACACACAGGAATCGACACTACGGACCCTTCAAATCTGTGGAGCCGTAAGTTCTCGGGACCAAAATATCTCAAAGATTGGTGGCCAACTTGTTCCCAATGTTAGTTCCCTTTCATAGTTTCTAACAGTGTATGACTAAAAATTAAAAGCAACACCCACGAGAATGTATACCGTAACTTAAAACACCCAGAGAAAGCTTCAGCTTCCTAGCAATTTAATTTTTACGGATTCTCTTGATGTAAGAAATTACGAACCGCTGGGTTGCGTGGCGCACCATCAGGCGCTCGGTCAGGTATAAAGCACGAGCTAAAAAAGCTGGTCGATGGCGTCGGTAGGGCAAGTTAACACCCGGCGGGCTCCGGGTTATAGAACCCTGTTGATGCTGTGCCGTATTGACTTATACAATCATTACACTTACTATGAGCATAGGTAGACAAGTGAAAAACCTACAGTGTAATGGTGAGAAATGTCTGGAAGGCGATTCGAAGTCGCCTCCGATAGAAAGGTCGCACATCGACTCCATGAGGAACCCCGAAGGCTACTCAGACAGCTATCCCTACGTGCCCTCTCCTTTCTCAAAAACAAGGAAAACAATGCGCTCAAGCAAAAAATATGATGCTCATCGCCTCCCAGCAGAGGCAGCTGTTCCGCGTGACATCCATAAGGGATGAGGGATGACTTCACTGGTGCTTCATCGAATCTCTAAATAAGAATCGAGCTGCAGTTTACCCACAACGTTCCGTAGAGACACGACGGTGCCCATACACCTTGCACAAAGGACGATATGAACACTTGGATACTTACCTGGATATTTGGATGGCCCGTCCTCACTGGTTGTGCGGGCCCCCAGCATAATCTCCATTTTGTCGGAGTTTTGCTTGTTTAGCCATAGTGGTTCCCTGGAGTCCCGGGGTCAGCCAGGCTAAAGTCTGGTCCAGGTCGTCACCACCACAGGTGGTCGCCGTCCTTGTGGATCAGAAGGACATTTGCCACCATGCGGCTAGTTTTGACAAACGACGTTGACGAATCCAGGCATTGGTTTACTCTTGGCTGGACAGCCTGAAGGAAACGCTGGACTCCTTCTAAGCTTGGGAAACTCTGCTAGGGAGATGATTCCTTCCACCGTACATCGCAGCCGGACACCCAGGAACACCTCCCAGCCACAATGAGGCGATAAACCGTTGGGAGGATCTATAGTAAATAATAATATGTATATCATTTACACCCATAGAGTAATAGAACAAAGTCTCTTCTACAATCCTTTCATGTTCAGTCCCTGAAGTCCTCTAGTTATCAAAACATTCTTTCTTATTGTCAAAAAACCGGAAAATGCAGTCGACGAGAATTGCTCGTTTTCCAGTGGACCTTTGTGGTTTCATAGAGATCAAAGACAGTTCTGGAATACAACTTTGAGGTTATTTACGGAAAAAGGAAGCAATTCGAACAAATGAGATATTTTCTTAGGACTCAGAAATGCTATAGGGCGCGTATAACACAATGGTTAGAGGTTCGCTGCAATGCACAGTAGGTCCTTGGTTCGATCTCGAGCCCTGGCCTCACCAAACCCTTCATCCCTCCGGAGTTGGCAATTGATGTGAGACCTGCCTTGAAGGCTAGCACTACTAACTTTAGATCGTTAGCCCACCACAAGTTATTGTATAGACCAGATGTGCACGATTTTCATTAGCGTCGAAACATGTGCAAAGCCCAGGCTGCATCCACTCTGTAGAGACAAGCAAGTTCAGGAGCTTGACGTTTCTATGAGAAAACCCAGGTAAGAATAAATCTATATCAGGAACTGTCACTCTTGTGGTAGGAGCCTGGTCTCTAAGCGTCAAGTTTCTTTCAAACGGAAGTAGGCCAGATCTTGGCTACGCCTCCAACCTGAGAACGCTGTCAGAACTCATGATTTCAGATGAAGAAACGCTACCCAACCAACCAATAGAATACAAGTGAAGTGGAGAATGGTAGAGTCAACAAGACTGGTGAAGGCGATTAATCTATGTGCTCGAGCGAGAATTGTGCTAGTTGTTAGCAGTTCATTACAAGAACAACCAACAGGTCCAAAAATAGCACGAATTTATTATCCCATCTCAGTAGTTTCACTTTTTAATTCATTTGCATTATATTGCAGATTTTTCATAAACAATGTGTTACAGCAGACCATTGTTCACATAGTTACTATTTGTGGTTGTTATGGTTTCTTCACAGCCTTGGCACCACTGAGCGAAGTCGGATCGGAGACTGAAAACAAAAAGGAAGAAAGGATTGTCTAGTTTTTCATCAATCATCTACGTATTTGATATCTATAAGCTTTTATCCCACTAACCGTTACAAAGAATAAAGTGGAGAAAAGTAGTAAAGTGATAAAAGGATAAAGGATAAAGCTCTCGGCGTTGATCAATTCCTGAGGGGTGGGCCATGCATTCGACTTCATTATGTATTGTTGGAGGTGATTTAATGCATATCTGGTCTTTACAATGACTCGCGGTGGCCTACCGTTGTATCGAACCAGTGCTGCTATTCTCCCAGACAAGTCTGGTACCAATTTGTCGACCCCGGCTTTGTAGACCATGGACCCGGGATCGATTCCACACGTGTGCCACAATGGCGCCTCCAACCACTGGGCCACACGCGCCCAAGTAAAGTGATAAGTAAGTAAATTGGCCGTAGACAATGACAATCAATACCGTATCTTTTGCTTTTTATCGATTGCCAGTTACAATGAATGAGTTGCATTTCTAAAGATGAAAACGGCAATTTAACAGAAATTAACACTCACCGTTATCCCACATATGCTGGAATCCGTTTGTCGAGTAACCACCCAGATCATCATAAGCAAGGTTGATTTCTTTTGCTATCTTACCCATAAGGTGCACATTTGGATCTTGCATGAGTAGACGATGTTCAACGAGTTGGATCTGAACAAAAGACGAATGGCAATGATGGCAACGACGACGAGGTGACGACGACGAATGACGAGCTGCTCTAGTTAAATGCTATTTTTGAGTTAGATGCATCACTTCTTAAGGTTATGAACACTATAAAAAAGCGCAGAACATTGACACTGAGCAAGCAAACTTCACCCAATGCGTCGAGTATGCCAGAAGCCTTATGTCTCCATTAAGCCTTTCCTAGATTAATTGTTCCTTAACAATTTAGCACAAAACAATTTCTCATACCCATGTAAAATTTCCAGTTCAAAAGCTTTGCTGAGAATCCAGAAAATTCAACATACTTACTGGGTGGAGACGTGCGTAGCGCATTGGTTTGAGATGCTTTGCAATACACATGTGGTAAATGTGACCGAACACGTTGATACACTTTCCGGGGGATAACGCTTTCACCACACACCACGCGAGTTCGTCGCTTCGCATTTCTCTTAGCCATGTTATTGACCTGTGCGAGAAGCACATGTATTTTATGGCTCCCACATCGAAGGATGTCGGCTGTAATGTTATTGGGTTCTGGAGCTGAGCGTCAGTCCGACCTAGAAGCAAGAGATTCTCAAGCGGAGATTTTATGCACTGGGGTGTGGACTGTGGGACAGAGAAATTTGACATAGGATTTTTCCGCCATTAATTCCGTGTAACGACGAAACGTGGTAGGAGTACCATTTTCGTTCATCAATATTTAATCATAGTAGTACCCGAGTACGTCAAATCAACAAACATTGAAGCTTCAACAGCACTGGATTTATGGTAAAAATATGTCACCTACTCAGTAGTAGACAAACAGCAACACGGGAGTGTTTCTGTACTAGAACAACGTTGGACCCATTCCGAGCTGTCTGTTTTTGGTAGAAAAG